AGCTCAAAGTTTCTCGAATGCTGCAGACACTGACGTTGCTAACTCTACATGGTCAAAATGAACTCATCATTTGTCTCCATGAACTTGTTCCTGTTCCTCTTTAAGTTCATATTCAAGTTGGGATTAGCACTATAACCCAGCCCAATATCTAGGTAGAAATGTTGACATCCTCTTAAAGGCTGTACATCCCCATGATCAATAATAGATCAACCTTGTTGGATCTGTTTCCACCGTACACTCTGTAACCACCTGCTTTTGTCCATTGGCATTGTCACTTCCTGGTTCAAACACCATCGTCTCTTGCTTGGATGGTAATAAACATCAACTAAGTATTTCCCCATCTTTTTATTGTTGTTGTTGAGACAGTACTTATTTATCCTAGGCTTGACTTAAACTCATTATCTAAGAAGATGACCTCGAACTCTTGATCCTTATACCTCGACCTCTAAAGGGCTGGGAATGCTGGTGTGTGTCACCATGCTCTGTTTATATCAGTGCTTCTCAACCTTCCTAATGCTGCAACTCTTTAATACAGTTTCTCATGTACTGATGAGCCCCCATCATAAAAAGGTCATTTGACCCCCACTGGGGTTCCAGATCCAGAGATTGGTTGGTATGATGCTAGGGATCAGACCCAGGACTTTGCATGCATGCTAGACAAGGGCTGTACCAACTGAGCTGTAGCCCCAGCCTTCAGCCCCCATCTTTGGTATATGCTTCTTCAGTCCCTTCTCCACACTACCGCTGTAACTGTGTCTGTAGCCTCATGATTCCAGAGTGATCGAATCTCTTTGCTGCTCGCCGTTAGAACAGTAGTTTCCCCTGGCTCTTCATAGCTAATGCTATTCCTGGTGACTTGGTTACCTCTGCTTCTTTAGTCCTGGCCCTTTCCACATCCAACATTCGGCTGTCCCAGACGCCTTTCGCATCCTTCTCATTGCTGTCTTCTTGCCTATTCTTTGCCCAGCTCCTAGACTCAGTAAGTGCCCCCTCCCTTCATACTCTGTGCTGTGCTTGAGAGTCTTTTATTTGTTGTAACCACTTCTCTAGTTCTTTGTTACAGCATAGACATAAGAACTGTATGTCTCCAGGCCATCAACCCATCTTTCCCCACCCTTCAGCAGCCAGAGTAGTACTTTGCTTAGCATCTCTTGTTTAATATATCCTCAGTATATATTAAATGCATGTTTATTTGTCATATAAATTACTTTTCAGAGCCTTAGTATTATTTCTCTTACAGAACTCAAGACTGAGGCTTTTTAAATAATACCACTTGTTTTAGTACAGGATTTAGGTACTTATGAAAATTTGTCTCTATATGAAGGGCAAATATATGTAAAATAAAAATAAGTGCGGTTTTTATTGTGCAGGTTGCACTTAGGAGGTAGAGGCAGGCAGATCTCAATGACTTTGTGGTCAGTCTGGTCTACATAGTGAGTTCCAGGACAGTCAGGGATACATAGTGACTTAAAGGCAGTCAGGGATACATAGTGAGACCCTGTTCTCTACCCCCAAAACAATTACAATGAGAAAAAAAAACATGTTCATATATATAGAGATATATTGTCTATGAAAAGAGAGGGTCTTTAATCTCCCATGTTCTTGGATAGGTAGGCTCAAAGTAGTAAAAATGGCAATCCTGCCAAAAGCAATCTACAGATTTAATTCAATCCCCATTAAAATCCCAGCACAACTCTTCACAGACCTTGAAAGAACAATAATCAACTTTGTATGGAAAAACAAAAGACCCAGGATAGCCAAAACAACCTTATTCAACAAAGCAACATCTGGAGGCATCACCATCCCTGACTTCAAGATCTATTATCGAGTTGTAGTCCTGAAAACAGCTTGGTATTGGCACAAAAATAGACAGGTAGACCAAGGGAATCGAATTGAACACCCTGATATTAACCCATACATGTATGAACATCTGATTTTCGACCAAGAAGTTAAATATATACAATGGAAAAAAGAAAGCATCTTTAATAAATGGGCTGGCATAACTGGATGCTGGCATGTAGAATAATACAGATAAATCCATGTCTATCGCCATAGACAAAACTTAAGTCCAAATGGATCAAAGACCTCAACATAAATCCAGCCACACTGAACCTCTTAGAAGAGAAAGTGGGTAATACCCTTGAATGAATTGGTACAGGAGACTGCTTCCTGCACATAACACCAGTAGCACAGACACTGAAGTCAACAATTAATACATGGAACCTCCTGAAACTGAGAAGCTTCTTTAAGGCAAAGGACACAGTCAACAAGACAAAAAGGCAGCCCACAGAAAGGGAAAAGATATTCACTAATCCCACATCTGACAGAGGGTTGTCTCCAAAATTTACAAAGAAGTCAAGAAGCAAGTCTCCAAAACACCAAAGGATCCAATTAAAAAGTGGGGCACAGAACTAAATAGAGAATTCTCAATAGAGGAGTCTAAAATGGCTGAGAGGCACTTAAGAAAGTGCTCAACATCCCTAGACATCCGGGAAATGCAAATCAAAACAACTCTGAGATACTATCTTACTCCTGTCAGAATGGCTCAAATCAAAAACACCAATGACAGTTTATGTTGGAGAGGATGTGGAGAAAGGGGAACACTCCTTCACTGCTGATGGAAGTGTCAACTTGTACAAACACTTTGGAAATCAGTATGGAGATTCCTCAGGAAAATGGGAATCAGTCTACCACAAGATCCAGCAATTCCACTCTTAGGCATATACCCAAAAGATGCACATCATACAACAAGGACTGCTCCACTATGTCCATAGCAGCATTATTTGTAATAACCAGAACTTGGAAGCAACCTAGATGCCCCTCAACTGAAGAGTGGATAGAGAAAATGTGGTACATTTATACAATGGAATACTATTTAGCAGAAAAAAAACAATGGAATCTTGAAATTTGCAGGCAAATGGATGGCACTAGAAGAAACCATCCTGAGTGAGGTTACCCAGTCACAAAAAGGCAAACATGGTATGTACTCTCTCATGTATGAATTTTAGACATAGATCTGGGGAATGCCAGCCTACAGTCCCATGACCAGAGAGTCTGGGAAACAGAACCTTCATCCAATGACTGATGGAAGTAGAGGCAAACTCCCACAGCTAAACACTGAGCTGAACTCAAGAAACCCAGTGACAGAGAGGGAGGAATGATGAGCAAAGGGGTTAAGACTGGGCTGGTTTAACCCCCAGAAACAGCTGACCTGAACAAGGGGTAGTTCTTGAATCACAGACTGATGGCTGGGAATCCAGCATGGGACTGATCAAGACGCCCTGAATATGGGTGTCAGTGAGGAGGCCTAGGCAATCTATGGGGCCTTGGGTAGTAGATCAGTATTTATCCCTGGCATACAAATGGACTTTGGGTGCCCATCCCACAATGAGAGATGCACTCTCACCCTGGACTCTTGGGGGAGGGTCTAGGTCGTGCCCTGGATGAAATGACAGACTATGGACACCCCATGGAGTGCCTCACCCTCCCTGGTGAAAGAAGGGGGTACTGGGGAGTTGGTGGGAGGGCATGGGAGAAGGGGAGGGAGAGGGAGAGGGAGCTGGGATTGACATGTGAAGCTACGTGTTTCTAATTTAAATTTAAATTTATTTTTTTAAATAAAAAAAAGAAATCGTGTATAATCTTTTCTGGGAAGAGAGAATACCGGAGACAAGGCAATCTTTGGAAGTTCTAATATAGCTAACATTGTTTCAAACTACTTTTCATTAGATAGTGTTATCTCACCTTATAAATCCTGCTCCTCTGGAGCTAGGAGAAACCCTCTGTGTGGTGTTGGTGTGGTGATGGTGTGAGAGAGACTGCTGTGGGATTGGTGTGGGGTTAGAGTGATATTGGTGTGGTTTGGTGTGGTATTGGAGTGGTTTCCAGGCACCTCTTGGAACTTAGTCTATAACCTGACAGTCTTTCTCAGCTGTGGCTTGAGAATTTTCAGGAATAGAATTCCATTACCGATAATGCCATCCACCCACTGCGCACCACTCTAAAACAATGATAGTTTTCATTCCATTTCACTTTTTGTTTCTTTAAATGCCACCACTTCAAACCATGTCTACGAACTGATTCTATACTTCAAATTCAGGACTCAATTTAAAAGGCTTCAGGTTTAAGTGAAACTTTGCACATGTGACTCGTTAGTGTCGAAACCCAATTTTCTTTTTTTCTTGAAAAGCTCTAAGTCAAGAGCCTGAAGTGCTCATTAGTATCTAAAGCTATTAATTAAAACTGGCATGAAATTGGCCTTTGCTTACTGCTCTTAAAATTGTGTGCATGTGTGATCATCCTAGCTAAACTTAGGGGAAGGTATTTTTGATGATAGCATCTTCACAAGTTAAATTAATGTGAGTCTTTTTGCTATATGGATGTATTGTGCCTTTGAAACCATATTCAACAAAACCCTACTGCCCATTTAGAATGTTTTTTTCCCTTGGGAATAATTTAAACTATTAACACTATTATAGTAAGTCCTAAACTACCAGGAGACTAAACAACCCATACTACAATAGTGCTAACATTCCTGTTGAGACGATCCCAAGTGATTTGGGGTCACAGTGGTGCTAACCACAGCCCAAGTGCTTAAGGATTTGTAAACATTCGGGGCCAATGCTTGGAAACTTTAGTGAGTAAATCTGGAGATAGGTACACAACCGAAGTAAGACTTTATACTATGTGCATAAAACTAAAATAAATAAAAATAAAACAAAAACACATGTAAGTTGTTTTAAGGTAAATTAAAAAACTTGATTACATTTACTATTCCTCTGGGGTGGGGATGGGCCACACGCTATGGCGTATATGTGGAGGTCAGAAGACAACTCTGTGGAGCCAGGTCTTTCTCTCAGCTTTTGCCTGGACCTAGAGAGCTGATCTTACGTCATCTGTCTCTCCCAGAAAACAGTGTACCATCTGGGCCCTTTCTCAGGCCCCTAAAAAGCAGAATTTTAAAACTGCCAATTGAGTAAAATCATGCCACCGAATAACTGTTTTGAATATGCTTCCCATTTATTTGATTTTAAGGTTAAAGTTTATACCAAATCTCAAACATCACACAGACCTCAGGGAATAACTTTGGGGATGCTTCAATGCCAGGCAGGTTCTTCATGGTTCCATGCACTAACGCTGGGCTCTCTCCTGCTGTTGTTTTCAGGTTTTCCGGAGCACTTGTAACTTGAGTTGGATGAACCAGTTCTCCAGTCTGCTTCCTTGATGCCCTTTCCAGGGATAACAGCTGCCCTTGACATCTCTTCAGACCTGGAATTCTATCTGTATGAAAGTAGATTGTAAGTGCTTTTTAAAACAAATAAATCGATTAAGGTTATATAAGAAACAACCCTAAACACACCCAGCAAGACAACAAGAGCATGCCATGACGTTAGGGAGGGCTGCATTTCTGCATGGTGGGATTACAGGTAAACTCTTTGCTTGCTGTCCGTTTTAAGACACGGATGCCATTGTTTTTGCAAGGTGGGACCTTTGCTTTTGGAAAGGCATTTGTAGACACAATAAGGCTCACATGAGTGAAATGTGATTGCAGGTAAATGTGCAAGACGCAGAGGGATAAGTGGAGATACAGACAGGCTTAGTGATTGCAGAAACAGATTGTAACCCAATAGGCCAGTCCATTTGGCCCATTTACAAACCAGATTCTTCACTGTTAACAAATACAGCTCCAAACACAGTGACAGGTCTTTAGTACAGGGCTATTTCTATCCATATGGGGAATTCAACACTTCCCAGACAACTCAAGATTCATTTTGGGGTTTGGCCTGAAGAACCGCTTACAGTCATATACCACTATTTCCAGCTAATTGTTCACGCTCAGCTTTTAAATGTATTAATGGAGCTTGGCATTAGAGAGAAATTGAGGAAGCGCTGTCCAGAATGTCCTAGAAGAGGTATGAAATTCTTATGACTATGGATGGACCCTGTTAAATATAAAAGGCTGATGGGATTTCTTTAAGCTAATTTAAATTAGTGAATCAAACTGAAAAAGAAAAAGAAAACCTCTTAAATATTTAGGGGATCTCTAATTCTCTCGAAATTTGTACATATTTGGACAAACTGTAATTTTTACTTTACTCATAAGATTTGTAAGTCATTTTGGGGAACTTGCTGAGTGGGAGGTGGCATGGGGAAAGAGGTGGTTTTTGTTAAAGTAGGGGGTCAGATTTGTTACCAGGTGTAAAAGAGCTGGCTCTGCATATGAATCCCCTTCCTTTTATCCTCAAGAGTGGCCTCCTAGGCACAAAGACATGGCGGTAGAGAATGAATGGCCAAGATTCATCTAGGATCAGATGAAGCCCATAGGTTCAATGCATGCCCAATGCACAGATTCTCCCAAGTGCCATCCTTTGGTGACCTCACTGAATGAACACAGCCATGCCCATGGACATTTGCCATTTCCCCCTATGCTTTCTGCAGCTGACCGGGAGCCCGCTGAAGGCAAGGACATTATATCTTCCTTCATTTGGGTAGCTTTTGTTTCTAATGCTCTGCCTGATGCTTGGTGATCACCAGTTAAGTAAACAAGGCCTGTGAGGGAAACAAACCCTGATTCAACCAGCTCGCTAGGAGAGTCTCTAATGGCCTTGTGTATGCACTCCACTATCCAAAGTGGAGGATGCTTGGCAGCAAGGTGGCCTCTGTGCTTCTCTGTGTCCTATGATGATCAGGCATGAGAGGCATCAGAAGCTGGCTCTGTGAAGTAAGATGGTGTTGTCTCCCCTACCTGACACCAGTTGCCCTATGACATTGAGTGAAAATTGTGATAATTATGATGGTCTATTGACAAGGGAGGTCAATGCAATATGGAATATAATATATTTATTTACCAGAGAAAGAACTTACACACAAGCTGGGAGGCTTCCAACAAAAGAGAGCAAGAGAGTACTTTTCTTTTCCTTAAATAGCCCACCTGTGCTAATCCCCCTATCCCTGCCCTTTTGGGCAGATAGTTTTGTGGGCTTGCCCCTACAATTCCCCTTCTAGTCTAAATAGAAGACTTAAAGTTGATACAAAACTCAAACATATATAACATATATACATAGAAGGTGATAAGTACTCCTGTCAGAATGGCTAAAATCAAAAACACCAATGACAATTTATGCTGGAGAGGATGTGGTAAAAGAGGGACACTCCTCCATTGCTGGTGGGAGTGCCAACTGGTTCAGCCACTTTGGAAATCAGTATGGAGATTCCTCAGAAAAATGGGAATAAACCTACCACAAGACCCAGCAACTCCACTTTTAGGCATATATCCAAAAGATGCCCATTCATACAACAAAGATGTCTGTTCCACTATGTTCATAGCAGCATTATTTGTAATAGCCAGAACTTGGAAGCAACCTAGATGTCCCTCAACCGAAGAGTGGATAGAGAAAATGTGGTACATTTACACAATGGAGTACTATTCAGCAGAAAAAAAACAATGGAATCCTGAGATTCGCAGGCAAATGGATGACACTAGAAGAAACCATCCTGAGTGAGGTAACCCAGTCACAAAAAGAGAAACATTGCATGTACTCTCTCATATATGGATTTTAGACATAGATCTGGGGAGTGCCAGCCTACAATCCCATGGCCAGAGAGTCTGGGAAACAGAAACTTCATTTAGTGGCTGATCGAAGAAGAGGCAGACTCCTCTTCTTCGGTTAAGTACTGAGCTGAACTCAAGAAAGCCAGTAACAGAGAGGGAGGACTGATGACCAAAGGGATTAACACTGGGCTGGTTTAATCCCCAGAAACTGCTGACCTGACAAAGGTTAACTCTTGAATCCCAGGCATCAGCCTGGGAATCCAGCATGGGACTGATCAAGACCCCCTGAATGTGAGTGTCAGTGAGGAGGCCTAGGTAATCTATTGAGCCTTGGGCAGCAGATCAGTACCCATCTAGAGTATACACACGGACTTTGGACTCCCATCCAACAATGTGAGGTGCACTCTCACCCTGAACTCTTGGGGAAGGGTCTAGGCCCAGCCCTATATGAAATGACAGACTATGGACACCCCCATGGAGGGCCTCACCCTCCCTGAGGAAATGAGGGGATAATGGGGGGAGCTGGGGGGAGGGCACAGGAGGAGGGGAGGGAAAGGGAGAGGGCCCTGGAACTGACTTGTGAAGCAACCTTGTTTCTTATCTAAATTTAAACTGAAAAAAAAGAAATGATATAAGTACAGTATAATCATTATGAAGTTCTCAAAAATTAAAATAAAACCCTAGATGGAAAGATGAGCATAGATGAGCAATGAAGAATTTCAATGAAGAAAATTATTTTAAAAGTTGAAAAAAAAGAAGGTGATAAAAGTAAGTTATAATCTACTTATATCCTAAGCTAAACATATCTATCCCATCTAAATTCTAAACTTATCTGAAAGGGATGCCCAAGTCTGAACACTTCCTTCCAATCCCGATCCTAAAATACTTTAAAACTAACATAAACAGATGTAAACTATCCTGTGATATCAACAGTAGGGAGAGGGGGGTGTGGAATTCTCAAAACTACTTCCTGCTGAAATGGGACGATGACAATCTCGTGGAAACCTGTGGGTAGAAAATGTTAGTGTAACAAGAGTCTTAGGTAGGTCCATTAGTCTCTAATTGGCAGGAAGTGCTTGATTGAGGTTCTTAACTGGAGTTCTAATTTTGATTGAAGCTCTTATCTGAAGCTCTGGTCAGATTGTAGAAGATGTACTGTATCAGTTCCTTGTTCTAGAGTTGTGTCGAGTGATGTAGTTCCAAACCAGTTTCAGGATGGTACTTGTCAGGTGGAGTTGATGATGTGGAGTGTTCAGATGCATCAAGTAGAATCAGGTGGAGTCGATGAAGTGGGGCCCCATTCTCTTTCGGAAGCAGTTGAAGATTGATGTCAGGAAGTTCCTTGTTCTCTGGAAAACTCAAACATTAATGTTAACAAAGAAATTTTCAACTTTTGTATGTATGCATACTGGGAAAGGCAACCCTAAGGAAGATAGTAAACATGAAGGAGATTAGACTTTCAGAAACGGAACCGAGTATACACAGATGACAGCCCCTAATTTTGTTTTCTTCTGTCTTATATCAATGGCTCTTTGATATAATACAGAAATTCCAAATTTTATTTTAGAAATACACTTGGGTTTAAAGTAGGAGAGCCAATCCAACTCCAAAGCCAGCTTCAATTAAATGAATTGGGACTAAAGCATATTAAGAAGCAAAGAGAAATGGATATTATAATAACAAGACAGAGAGATTCAGACATTGATACCACACGTTGTATTATTGTATGTTTGATGGTCCTCTGGGTAGCTATCCTTTCTATCCTTTTTTCTTTAGGTATCCATATATGCAGTATTTTTTCACTGTTTGGTGCTGTAAAGACAAAAACAAAACACTTCTCTTTCCTTTTATGAGGTCTCCTTACACATAGTTAAATATGACCTTGTAGATGATCTGTCATGTTTCCTCCTCCTGAGGTTTCTTCTGTTCGGATCAAATCTTGATTAATTTTGATGGAATCCAAAGCTTTTCTTCTCCTGTGGAAACAAAGGCAAAACCCCTTCCCCAGCGTAACACATATCCTGGTTTCCAGACTGAGGTCATAACATCCTTAAAATACACCGGTTGGTTCAGCTCAGAAGTTTTCTCTGTAGTCCAGTGTCTTTTCTGCAGCTGTTTGTCCTTTTTCATTAGCATTAAGAAAGTTCAACATTCGTAAAGCATTATGTAATCTGTGTTTGAGGGTCTTTGTTCTCCCTGGCTGTTTATGAAGCATTTGTTTTAAGGTGTGGTTAGATCTCTCAATCACTGCTTGTCCTGTAGGATTGTAAGGTATACCAGTTACCTGCTTTATATTATAATATTTGAAAAACTGTTCCAATTTGCTGGAGACATATGCTGAGGCATTGTCAGTTTTTATTTGTTCAGGTATACCCATAACAGCCATCACCTCTAAGAGGTGTGTGATAACAGAATCAGCCTTTTCAGGGCTGAGGGCAGTAGCCCATTGGAAGCCTGAGAATGTGTCTAGGGTATGGTGTACATATTTCAAACTGCCAAATTCTGGAAAACGAATAACGTCCATATGCCAAATTTCATTCCTGCGAATACCTTTGGGATTACTGCCTGCTGGTAATGGAGTTCGATTATAGAATGAACAAGTGGGGTAGTTTCTTACTATTTCCTTGGCTTGTTGCCAAATGATAGAAAATCCTTATTTAAACACCTGTTGACATGGTGTTTCTTATGAAATTCTGAAGTTTCCAACACACTTACTATTAGTAAACAATCAATCTCATCATTGCCTTGTGCTAGAGGACCTGGCAGACCCTATGGGATCTGATATATATATATCAGTGTGTGTGTGTGTGTGTGTGTGTGTGTGTGTATATATGATGAGTTCTATTTCTGATGGTTTCCTGTAATTGTAAAAATAATGAGGTTAATTCTGTATCATCAGGAACAAATTCTGCAGTCTCTATGTGTAAAACAACTCTTTCTGCATACTGAGAATCCGTGACTATATTGAGAGACTCTGTAAAGTCTTTAAGTACCATGAGAATGGCATACAACTCTGCCTTTTGTACAGAGTTGTAAGGGCTTTGAACTACTTTACTTATATTTCCTGATTTATAAACTGCCTTACCTGATTTGTTTGCATCAGTGTGGAATGTAAGAACTCCAGAAATAGGCGTTTTTCTTACAATATGCAGAAGAATCCAAATTGTTTTATGAATTTGATTCTCTCTCTGTTTTGGGATAGTTGTGATTACATGCTCTTCTTAAGATGTTGTGAAAGAGTAATGCCCCTAATACTAGACTAAGGGGCAGTATTTTCACAGCTCGCACTATTCATCTCTGGGAGAGTCATATGAGGGAAAGGAAGTCCATAAATTTTAACATGGGGTTCTGTTGTTGTTGTTGTTTGTGGGGTTTTCTTGGAGTTTTTTTGGGTTTTCAAGACATGGTTTCTCTGTTTAACAGTCCTGGCTGTCCTGGAACTCAACTATGTAGACCAGGCTGACCTTGAACTCACTGAGATTTGCCTGCCTCTGACTCCTGAATGCTGGGATTAAAGGCATGGGCCACCACCAGCTAACACAGGGTTCTTGCTTCTAGGTCTGAAAGATGGGATAGCTCAAATCAAATTATTGAATCTCAGTGAAGTTTATCTATAAGTAGAGAAGGTTGTGGCCAAATTCTGAACCCCCAAATCACCAAGAGGTCCATTTTGATGCAAAAGCAAAGAGTCTTTTATTGTAGTTGTTTAACAAACTAACCTCATTAGCTTGGGCCTTTCATCCATTCACCATGGTGGATGGCTGGAGAAAAGACCCCAAGCAACCTCGAGGCAGGGATCTTAAAGGGCAACGTAAGGGGAGTGTCTTGGGGTATGCAAAAGTCTCAGGATTGGTGCACTTCCAGTTTTGGGTGACCTGCCCTGTGTTGATTGGTCAACTGGTTGTTATGGCCCATAGGCCCTCCCAGGGCAGTTGCTATGCTCTGCATGTCACTATTGTGCACTTGTCCATTAAGCACACCAAGACCCATAAAGCACAGCCCTGTCAGCTAACTTCTGATTGGCTCCTTGCCACAAGGAGGGCATCTGACCCCCTAGTGACCAGGACAGGAGTGGCAAGGTCATGTAAGCACATGTTAGCCTGTCATGGCTGCTAAAACAGGAGGGGAGCGGCTGGTCACTTCATAGAATAGTAATTGTTGCCTCACAGCTTCATTATGAAAGTTTAATCAATAAAGTCAGGCAATATCACTAAAGCTTTTAGTGGTGTTTTGAATGAGAATGGCTCCATAGCACATGCTCATGTGTTTGAATACTTGATCTACAGTTGGTGGAACTGTTTGAGAAGGATTAGGAGGTGTGGTCGTGTTGGAGGAGATGTGTTACTGGGGGTGGGCTTTGATTGCCTCAGGATTGTGCATCAGGACGTAGTCTCAGATACTGCTCCAGCAGCATTCCTGCCTGATGGCATGCTCCCCACCATGATGGTCATAGACTCTGACCCTCTGGAACCATGAGCCCTAATAAACATTTTCTTTTCTAAGTTGTTTTGGCCATGGTGTCTTTTTTTTTTCTTTTTTTGGTTTTACGGGACAGGGTTTCTCTGTATTGTTTTGGAGGCTGTCGGTCCAGCCTGGCCTCGAACTCACAGAGATCCGCCTGCCTCTGACTCCCGAGTGCTGGGATTAAAGGCGGGCCATGGTGTCTTTTAACAGCAATAAAATTGTAACTAAGGCACCTCCTCATAGTAATCATGTTACTATTAGCAGGTTTCAGAAAAGTTTAGAAGTTTTGTTTATAGCTGTTGAACATTTACATGATCAATGAGGTTGATGCTTACAACTACATTTGCCTTCAAAAGTGTTCGTCCCTAAATATCTCTGCAATGCCATTAAACTGAGTAAAGCGTGTGGTGTTCCTGAATGCCTTATCATGTAGGAATATGATGAAAGTGTAAGACATTGTTCTCAGAACTGTTCGGCTGCAGAAAGGGATGATATTTAAGATGGAACACACACCTCTGTGGTCTCCTATCACAGTGCATGCTAAGGGGCATCCCATCCAGGTGTTCCATTCTTATGGCAAGTCAGATCATCTGTCAATCTGATAGGCTTCTTGTAGAAAACAACACACCTCAGTGTGGCGGTTGGGAGGGCCTAGGAAAGACAGGAAAGCAGTCCTTTGATGTGGTCTAAGTCTACTCTGAAATAATCTTCTCTTCTTGGTCATTTAGAGTTTTCTTGAAGTTTAATTAGGAGCAGAGGCTACCACGGGGCGAGGGAACCACTGGCAGCTACAGCTATGGAGGTGACCTGTCTACTGCTGGAAATGTCTCCAGACTTTTGACAACGGCTAAACAACCATGGGGTCCAGCGGCCTCGGGAAAGCAGCGACACTAGATGAACTGCTCAACACATGCGTTGAGATGTTTGGTACGAGGTTTATATTTCCTTTTTCCGTCTTGATGATATAGCTTGCTTCAGTTTACATGCAGGTTCCTTCTGGGATAGGTTTCAGTCTCTGTACTTTGACACCTGAGGGGGGACCCACTCTGTGTCTCCAGTTTCACTGGCCTCTGCTTTCATTTCTGTTCACTTCTCACAGCTCACACTCCTGACAAACCATCTACTTACTTCTGGACCATTCCTTGTGTCATTCTTCTACTTCCATAGTTTTCTTCTCTCATTGGAATTCTCTTTGAGGTCATCAGTTGTCATCCCGAATACTCGTAATTCCTAATAACCTATCAGAGATGGTGCTTACTTCTCCATCCTACTTCTCAGTGTATGTTTTCATGCAGATGGTACATTATTGCTTTATTCCTTGCCTCATGTCTCAGTGTGTGTGTGCATTGCACAATCCCCTATAATCTTCATTTGTATATGTCTCATATATATATATATATATATATCAACGCACCTTTGTATTGCTGCTTGTATATTGTACAAATGTGAGATTGTTTGTCCAGCAGGTCCCATGGCCCTTGAGCCCCAAATAACACACAGATGCTATACTAATTATAATACTGTTGGCTGATGACTAGGGCTTCTTTTCTTTTTTTCTTCAATATATTTTTTGTTTTATTTCTTTCCTCTTCCTTTTTTTTAATTTAAGTTAGAAACAATTTTGACTCACATGTCAATCCCAGCTCCCTCTCCCTCCTCTCCTCCCTATCCCTCCCCACCAGGCCCCCCAGTCCCCAACCCAATCTCTACTCCTATCCCCAGGGAGGGTGAGGCCCTCCATGGTAGATCTCCATGTCATCCAGGGTTCAATATATTTTTTTATTTAAATTAGAAAAATGCATTCTTCACATGTCAATCCCAGCTCCCTCTCCCACCCTCCTCCCTTGCCCCAGGGAGGGTGAGGCCCTCCATAGGGGATCTCCAGAGTCTTGACTAGGGCTTATTATTGGCTAGCTCCATCTTGATTATTAACCCATTTCTATCAATCTATGTATTGCCATGCAGCTATGGTTTACCTGGTAATGCCTAGCATAGTGTTACTCCTCCGACAGCATTGTGACTCTGGAGGGGTCCTGACTACCTTTCCCAGAATTCTCCTTGTCTCCTAGCCCCGCCTATCTTCCTGCCTGGCCAATCAGTGTTTTATTAATCAACCAATAAGAGAAACATATGCAGAATAACATCTCCCATTAGTATATCTATTTTATCATTGAGCATCGGAGTCACAAAGAGACCTTTGCTTAACCCATTTAAAAATTTAATTTCTTTAGTTGATAGGAAACCAGAAGTAAGCCAGAGTAGGGCTATTGGATAAAATGCAGAATGACTGTGGCCAGCGATGTGGCTCAGCTAAAGACACTGCCAAGCAGGATGGTCTGAGTTTGATCCCCGGAGCTCACATGGTGGAAGGAGAGAAGCAGTTCCTGAAAGCTGCCCTCTGACTTCCACACATGAAGCACGCTGCCCTTAATAAATAAACGCAAGATGATCACGTACATTTGAATTTCAGATAATCAGCATGTTTTTGTATGCCTCAAATATGCCAAGTCCATACTTGTTTTGATAACTTAATCACTATTTACTTTCAACTCAAATTTACTGGATGTCCGGAATTTATATTTGGTAAACTTATCAATCACAAAGCAGAATTGTGACACTGCCTACATTAGATTACAAGAAAACACCAGCAGAAATTGGAGGCAGTAAAGAAAACTGGGCTTGGGGCTGGAGAGATGGCTGAGAGATGGCTCGGAGGTTAAGAGAGCATACTGTTCTTAAAGATGATGGAGTTCCATTCCCAGAACCCATGTTGATGGCTCACAAACTGCCTGTTACTCCCAATCATGCCTCTGGCTTCATGTGCAGGTACCCACATGTATACACATAATTAAAAAGAAATCTTGCCGGGCAGCGGTGGCGCACACCTTTAATCCCACTCGGGAGGCAGAGGCAGGCAGATCTCTGTGAGTTCAGGGTCAGCCTTGTCTACAGAGCAAGTTCCAGGACAGGCTCCAATGCTATAGAGAAGCCATGTCTCGAAAAACATAAATAAATAAATAAATAAATAAATAAATAAATAAATAAATATCTTGCAAAATATAACAAGGCTTATGAGGCATTGTTGACACTGTATTTTCTCAAGTGGTATTAAAGGAAGAAAAGATTAACCCTGCCATCTCTGCCTCTTATCTTATTTTCCACAGATGACAATGGAGATTTGAATGACAGCTATTTGCCAAGAATAGTTCTTTTGATGCACCGATGGTATTTATCTTCCACAGAACTGGCAGAAAAACTCCTCTGCATATATCTTTTCAACTGCTGTGTAATGTTTATATTACAAACCAAGTTCTGTATTTACATAGAGTGCCTATCTAAAACCAGTAAATTAAGGTGAATATATGGTCTTCTTTAGTCAGTTATCCAGATGTTTTGAGACTATATAGATGTTAGATGAGACATCTGGATGATAGACCAAATAGCTGACTAAACACTTGGTGTCTGGGCTGAACTTGAAGATCTCAGCAAGATGTGAAGTGGAACAGGAGTTGGAGTCTGAGGGTTTCTAACTTATCCAAAACACTTGCAAATGTTATTTAACCCTGGTTCCATATTTTTTCCTTCTGCGGTGGCAACAAAGCTACCTTAGTTTTCATATTCCCCCTTGCTGGTAAGACATGGTGAATGTTCTTGAAGGCTTTTCCTCCTATAATTTGTTGATTGACACCAATTTTCAGTTTAATTTATCCAAAACAAACACAAAATCTGTACAAGGCTGAAAATAAAATTCCTTGTAGTTGAGAGCCCACCTTGCAGTGTGAGTACGTGCTTACTGATTTTGTGTTTACTATGGTCCTGAAAACCGTTAAAGGGTGCGTATATGACAATGCAAGCAGTCTCACAGTTTGAGGAAACTGATTTCCTAAGGTCTGTGCTTGTTGTACAATCCCTAAGTGTATTTTTCTATCTCTGCCTTATATGAACCCAGGAGCCCCCACAGGAGTGAGAACACTTACAGAAAAGGGAGAGCCTAGGACTTAGAAAGTCCACCCAAACATTGTTGCCTGCCAAGGCTGCCTGAGCCAAGCAGGTAGTGAACCTGTCCACTTCATATTTCTTCCTTCCATCTTCCCACAACCTCAGGGGATGAGGGGATGTTGGGGAGGTTAGGAAGACATTCACCCGGAATGGAGAGCTTTAGGAGTGAGCAAGATTCTGCATCTATTGGTCCCACTCTTGATGGGTAGAGTATAGGGAAGGATGAGGGAGTCAACCACATGATCCATACATTGCCCACGGAGTTCATCCACAAACAACACACTTGTCCTTAGTGGGTTTGCCAATGCATGAAACAAGAGTAAAGGGGGATATTCCGGCATGTTAGAGCATGGTGTGGAATTTCAGACAGTATAGAAGTTGAAGACTGACATTTCCCTCCTTGGATTCTTTACCTACTGCGTACCCACTGCGTCCCATCATAGTAAGAGTAGGAGTAATTGTTCTATGAGAACCAGTGAATAGACTTAAGAACAAATATAACCTTAATATTAACATACCTGAACATGACATTTTCAAATACCCATGAGATTTGAGCACTTGTTATACAAAATACCAATCATAAATATGAAATCTTTTTAGCTAAAATGGTGTTTCTGGGTACTATCAATTTTGAATTATCCACACTTTTCAGTATACCTGTAACCACAGTTTGTGGTTGTTGGTTGGTAAGTACTCAGGAAGGTGTAACTAATTTGTAAGTGACTTCTCCACCAGACTAAAAATATATCCCAGGGCCTTAACACGTCAAGTCTGACTACACAGTGTCAGTGTGCTCACGCCCCACTTCTATGCCCATTTGACTGTCTCCACATCAGCCACAATTTTGAAACCTAACCGTTTTCATATCTTGGATTTTTAACGAATTTCAGAATAGGTGTACTTACATGTTAGGAATTGTCGTGGGTCACTGAAGGAAACTTAAACAATTTAAATGTCATATATGGCAGATATCAGAAGGGTTAAAGGACCACATCTATTAAATACATCTGGGATACACAAACTTGGTTCCTAGTTACCTGCTTCAGACTCACATATAGGAAGCTAGATGAAGATGATTTCTAGGATCAATAGTACTCTATATGATTTAATATATATGTACGTACATATATATACATATATATATATGTATAACACTTACATAATAAGATGTCAATAAAGATGGCACACGGTCCAAAAATACACTAATTTAAGTAGACTCTCATTTGACTATAACATTGTATTAGTTCAGTGGTGACTTTTTTTCCCTTGTGGTATTGTTGACTCTCCAAAAGTTTCAGAGTTTGGGGCATTTTGCAAGGTTTTGGATTAGAAGTACTCACCCTGTAACTCGGATTGCCTGGGATTTGTGTAAATTCTTGGAGCAGTATCAGCTAGGCATGTGCAAAAGGAAGACATAAGAGCATTTTCTTTAACTAGCCTACGTACCAGAACGCCAGTGGAGAAGGCTGTGATGAGTTCCGACTGAAGATCTGCTATTTCATGAGGTAAGCACTCTTACAGATTTCATTTCTCAAAGCTTGGGTTTCTGGAGTTGACAACAATTCCTGCTTTTTCTAAGCAGCCAATCCTTCACCTCACTGCCTTTGTAACTATTAGCTCTTCTCTGCTCCTGATGGGTAGGGCAGAATTTACCTTATGGACTAGACATCAACTAGGGGCTCATGCCGTATGGAGGAAAGGCAGCTCACAATTCTGGTGGATTCTACGTTTTCTACTCCCTCACCACATACTTAGCCATGAATTGCTGGGAGGGATCCCTCAGCTGTGTTTTGCAATAAGGCAGGAAGAAGTTCAGGGTTGCTGGATCTTGGTTTTTGACAAAAGGGTCAGAAACACATGCATCGATAGTCCTGGGGGATAGGACAACTTGGAACTATGGTACTGGATTCCGTGTAGTTCAGTTTAAAAAATGGCATGATAGCCGGGTGGTGGTGGTGCATGCATTTAATCCCAGCACTCAGGAAGCAGAGGCAGGCAGGTCTCTGTGAATTCAAGACCAGCCTGGTCTACCGAGCCAGTTCCAGGACAGGCTCCAAAGCTATACAGAGAAAAACAAAACCTGTCTCGAAAAACAAAAACCAAAAAAAAAAAAAAAATAGGGTATGATACTCTCCAAAGAGGTCCAAATGAAATCTTCCAGCCATCAAATGTCCTTTATATATACCTTTCAGGTACTGGATTCTGAAATTCCCAGCAGAGTTCAATTTGGATCTTGGTTTGATTCGAATGACTGAGGAGTTCCGGGAAGTAGCTAGTCAACTAGGATATGAAAAACACATCAACCTCATGGACATATCCAGCATGTAAGAATGGTGCACATCTTTTGATCTCCATGGGTCCATTGCTTTGGGAAAGGGCTAGCGATGATCCTGCTTGAATGGAATCTATATTGTTCTAGAAGGAAGCTAACTCCTTCTTTGGAGACAGCCTGGCTACAATGAACACAGCTGTAGTAGACACAATCTATCTCTCAAAGATACAGTTTGTCTGTAAAATGGGATGGTACCTTTATGGGATTCATCTATGTTTAAGAAGTCCATCAAGAAGCACACGAAAACATCTGGCACAGAGTGGATGCTGAGAACTTAGTAATTGTCTCCTATGCCCCAACTATTCAGACCACCACATTACTTTCTCCTAGGAGTCCACCAGAAAAGGCTTGAGTCCCACCTAAGCCTGCCAAATTAGAGTCTATACCTTAATAAGATCCCATGCGATTCATGCTCTCATGCAAGTGTGAGAAACTCTTTACCCCAGCTCTTCAGAGGCTCCTCTAAGGTTACACAAATGTTGACCACAGTTGTGTCCTGACTGGTTATCTCATAAGGGACTTAATACTAATTAGACTCATTTAATGCAGACCAGCCAATTCTGCCCACCGAAAACTTTCTCATGAACCCAGGTATGGTTGTCCATATTGCAATTGTATATTCTATCCCAAGCTGACTTGGAATTCATCATGTATCCTAGGCTGTCCCTGAGTTTTGTGATGATTTTCCCGTCTTGACATGCTGAGTGCTAGGATTACAGGGGTCCATCAAATGCACATATTTCATGTCTTAGGCCTTCTCTTTGCCTGGAATGCTTCTTCAAGACTAACTGATAACGAGTGACCCAGGAATCATCAGGGAGGCTTGTTTACAATGCCTGTCATCCAGATTCATTCCTAGTGAATCAGAGTCTCTGGAAGTGAGATCTAGGCCTCTGTCTTAATAATGAGTTTTTCAGATAATCCATATGACACTCAACTGTGAAATACACAGTGTGGTTGTTTCCAAGTGCTCTGAATCACCTCCTATCTGCAAATAAACCTCTGAATTTACAGATCTCACCTTAATCTAGTCTTCATAGTTAAAATCTTTCTTGGTCACAAAGGATACCATGTATGATATTCAGGATGGACCACAGCAAATCTAGCCTGCCTAGAGAAACAACTCCAAGTCTGGGTTCTGTTGGCAATGGGTGGGTGGTTTTCTCTTCCAATATGGAGGACAGGGCATGCATTTCACACCAGCTCCTGGCAGCAGGCCAAGAGTTACAGTCAGTGGGTTAATATCTTCCACTGGGGGAAATGCGTGTTGGGCACGTTGACCAGACTCTCTCTTTTTTCACAGTCCTTCCTATGACTGGATGAGGAGAGTCACACAGAGGAAAAAAGCATCGAAAAAGGGGAAAGCTTGCCTCTTGTTTGACCATCTGGAGCCCATTGAGTTGGCTGAGCACCTCACTTTTCTGGAGCATAAATCTTTTAGAAGGATCTCAGTAAGAACTTGACGGTTATTCTTCCAAGGGTAACATGTGCTGTGCCAACTTTCCCAAGAGCTGCGTGTTCATACTCCCAAGTGTTGGCAGCCTCTGCCGCTGGGCTCTATTGGAAACGTGCCCTCGATTCACAGGAACAATTCCTTTTAACCAAATATAAATATTATCCTGTCTTTAGTTTATGGCTCAGGAGCTATATTTCTGTCACTGTGTTCAATGTCTCCTTTCATAGAATGAAAGCACAATTTTTCTAAACATTCAGCAGAGATTTTAGCCATTCAAGGTTTACTTAGTTCAAGTAACCTCTTCCAAGTGAACGGTTTTGCTGGGACTTTTATTTGTAGCACGGGGGTAGGGGGTGGTTAACTTATTGTGGTATCTATACAAATGCCTAACTATGGACATAGGTTGAGAATTAAGGATTGTAGGCATTGAAGGATCTCAACATTAAATGGCCTCTTTCCTGGAGGTGGAAGTCCCCTGTATTAGACTTTCCTTCCTACACATCTTAATGGACACTCATTCCCTTCCTACATTCCTTCTCCCTTCCTGTTCTTCTTCCTTCCTCACCTGCTGTCTCTTCAAGATGCCTCTCTGTTGTTGCCCACTCTTTATAGTGGCTCCATCCGCTGGTTACTTCTGGGTCTCTCGTGAGGTCAGGGGAAGTCATTCCCCTTCCAAGGAGCCTGAAGTAAATCCCGCCATTGCTGACAAACAAGATGATTTTGTCTAGAAGCATGGATTTCCTCCTTTCTGTTCCTTCTTTTCTTTCTTTCTTTTTTTAAAAAAAAATTTTGGGTAGCCCTGGGGATTGAACCGAGGTCCTCCCACATGCTACACAAATGTTCTAGAATCTGCACCCTTAGTCCAACAGCAGAAAATTCTGAAAGACTGATGCATTCACCAAGCAAATCTTGTTTGTAGAGAAACATCAAGATGCTCTCAGACAGGCCAAGGAGAGTCCCTGAACTTTGCGTAGGACACAAGGCATCTCCCCTCACAGTCTGAAAATAAGTCTAGATTGCTAACGAGCATCTTACTTTGCTATTTTTCCTATTTCCTTTTATCTTGAAATGCTGAAAACTTACTCTTATTTGAGAGTATTATATTCCATCCATTTCCTGTTCTCTAGTGTGTGCCATTGTATCGTAAACGTGTTTATTCTTTGGCATCACTGGCAGAACTGAAAATAGAAAACCTTAACTCTTTCCTGAGGCGATACCAATCTGTCAGTTTTAATATTCCCAGGCCAATGGCCTACGTGGGTCTTTATGGCTTGCGAAGTTTGGAATTCCCAAGAATGTATTTTGAATTTTGCCCATTCTTCCCCCTGCTCTGAAGCACTGTGTTTTGTGTGTTTGTGGGGGTGAGTTAATGAAGTGTAGTAGTTCATTTAAAGGCACAGAAATTTCAATTTGGAATCCTTTATTAATGGGAAATGAAAGAAATCACCATGTTGCCACAAAAGGCTAGCTCACCCCCTTTTTCCATCTGTCTAATGTCTGATTTTGTCATAGCCCCGAGTTTAGAATCTGATTCTTCCTTTTCCAGTTCACAGATTATCAGAGCTACGTCATCCATGGCTGCCTGGAGAATAACCCAACTCTGGAGAGATCTATTGCTTTATTTAATGGAATCTCTAAGTGGGTCCAGTTGATGGTTCTCAGCAAACCAAGTCCTCAGCAAAGGGCAGAAGTCATCACAAAGTTCATCAATGTAGCACAGGTTTGTCTCATACCTGGGCCCAGATTTGGGGAGTCTGTGTATTAATTTTATTGAGAAAAGTCATTGAGAACTTTGGTGCTAACAATGGAAGAGCACAGGACACTTAAACCACACTCCTCTCCCATAACAAGACTGCTTTTAAATGGTAGTGCTTTAGAATTATATAAATGTGTTCTATGAAACATGATATCTTCCTTTTTAAAGGATTAAATTTTCATTTCATCTCAAACTGATGTATCTCCCCACACCACCCCCAGATTCTTGTTATAAACGTTGCGCTCTCTTCACCTGTATTTTGGGAAATTCAGAATAACTTTGGAAAATCCCTAACAAGTACCCATGTTAACATTTTTTTCTCATTGCAGAAACTCCTTCAACTAAAAAATTTTAACACCTTGATGGCAGTGGTTGGCGGGCTTAGTCATAGCTCCATTTCCCGACTCAAAGAGACCCATTCTCATCTCTCTTCAGAAGTTACAAAGGTATGGTGGATTTTAAGCTAAATTCTAAGCAGAATACATTGTTGTAATGTGCTCTGCCCCTGACAAGTGCTACATGGGAGGGCAACCTTTTTCTCTTAAACAAATGCAAAGTTACACATAGGGAACTAAATAGGAAGCGCATAGACCTATTGACACAGAAAACCAGATGGCTGCTAGTGGGAAGTGTTGGAATAAGAATGTTCTGGACCAGTGGGTAAGATGGCTTAATAGGAGAGGATGCTTGCCACCAATGCTGGTGACTTGGGTTTAATCCCTGGAACCCACATGATGGAAGGAAAGAACTTATTCCCAACAGTTCTCCTCTTATCTTATCTATAGGCTGAGCCATGTACACCTCCTCCCCAAGAAATAAATAAATACAAAAAGAAAACAGTCCTACCTAAAGATGAATATATTGTATATGTCACCAAATACTCATTGGTGCTTGCTCTGTGACCAGCACTTTGATAAATGTGGAAGATGACAGATGAGTAAGATAAATATCCATCGCTCACTGATGCGTTCTCGAGTCCCAACACTGTGGCACACAGGAGATGCAAAGAGAAGGGAAGCTGGAGGTCTTCTATAGAAATACTCACACTCCAGAGCATGTACCCATAAAAGCCAGTTCACAAATGGGTACTCTCTACTGTATTTACTTACAGGCCATATCCTGTAACTATTTCACTTACTGAGCAGAAAGGAACATTTTCCCTTAGACTAACTCTTGGCTGTAGCAGTGGGAGGGTGTATTATGTTTTAGTCCTAAGAAAGATGAAGATTAAGACAATCTAAATTGGTTAAATAATAAAGAAGTCTATTGTCCAACAGACCTGGCAGTCCAGTGTCTGGGTGGACTCCAGGTGTGACCTTATCAGGGTCTGCCTCAGTTCCTCCACATTCTTCCCAGGTTCAGGGATTGTTGCTGCTTTTGTTCATTTTTTGGTTTTTGTTTGTTTGCTTGCTTTATTGGCCTGGCTTCCCTCCTGGTTGAACTTTGGGAAGCAACAGGAAAGATCTCGTAAATGGAGCTTTTTCCCTGACTGCCTGGACTCAAATAAACACACAAAAACTTGTATTAATTGAAAAATGATCATCCAATAGCTCAGGCTTATTACTAACTATCTCTTACAACGTATCTCATTTCTGTTAGTCCATGTACTGCCCAGAGGCTCGTAGAATTTACCTCTATCCCATTTCATGTGTCTGACTCCGTCATCTGGCAGGTGATCCCTCTGACTCCACCTTTCTCCATCAAGTCTTTCTCAGTTTAGCTTTCCTGCCTAACTTTTTCCTGCCTTGCTATAGGCCAATCAGCTTTACTGTTAACCAATGAGAGTAATACATACTCACAGTGTATAGAAGGATCATCCCACGGCAAGATCTACTCTTATTCATGAAAGATTTCTCATTTTAACTCTCTTCTCATTGACTAAAGACCGCTTTCTAGGCATGTTTGACCATCTCAAGTCATACAGTGGCCATCCTGGACCAATAAAAGTTGTCAGAGAAATATGGTCTACTTATTGGCCTAGCCCTCTGTTCCTAAACTGTTTAGGAAAAAAAGGGGTGGAATTTCTGTGATATAGCAGATGATGATTGGAGCAGAACCAATCCTACATCCTGGGAGTGGGGTGGGTGTAGAAACAGCTCATCTGAGCATGTGCAATGCTTTAGGAAAAGGAGGCCTAATTAGAGGAGATTTATTAGAAAGTCTAGTTGTTGTTCACTAACCAGCAAAAAATTATCTATATAAACATGAGTGAATATTTCAGGGAAGCACCATTATCTGGCCTCAAATTCTGCCTTCATCCTAAGTATAATGGGACTTACTATGGGTTCTTAAGTTTTGTACTAAATTTCAAATAAAAGGCAAAAATACAATTTGAGTTGTAGAGAATAAGAGGTTTGAGGCTATAAGTATATTTTTAAAAATTATATATCAGAGGGACGTAGAGATGGCTCAGCTTTTAAGGGCTCTGATCAATCTTCCAGAGGGAGTGGCTTAGATTCGCAGTAACCACATGGTGGCTCACAACTGTCTGTAACTCCAGTTCCAGAGAGTTAACACCTTCTTCTAATTTCCACATGCACCAGACCAGGCACACATGTGCTGTACTCAAATATACGCAGACAGAGCACTCACATACATAAAGTAATCACACACACACACACACCCTTAAACTCTCCTTTCTTGTAGGAAAAAAAACTGAAAGCCAAACAAGTAGGCAGTCATGTTCACATTCACCCCTGCAGTTAATGTGGAGCCTAAAACTCCAGCTAAGGCAGCGTTCCCTGTCCTGCTCTGTCCCAGGTTAACTTTCAAGTGACATTTGCAATGCAACTTCCTTGAGAAAAGGAGGGCATTGTACTATGCTGCATGCTTGCCTTCGTGACTTGCCGTTTCTCCTGACTCTCTGAATCCCAAGTATATGTGATGCCGTTTAGCAGCTCGCAGGCAAGCGGAGGTGCAGGCTGTGAGAACCTGGCCAGTACACTCTTCTGCTTACCTTCCTCTTGGCTGACAGTTCCCTTCATCGGTGTTGGTACAACCAATCCTCTTCCCGGTGGCTGAGGGGTTCCAAGCCACGAATCCCAGAATCTGCAAGTGGGCAGGAGAGAAAGCTGTGCGTCGACAATTCTACTTTTCCTTCTCTTGCCAGAACTGGAACGAAATGACAGAGTTGGTCTCCTCCAACGGCAATTACTGCAATTACCGCAAGGCCTTCGCCGACTGTGACGGCTTCAAAATCCCCATCCTTGGCGTGCACTTGAAAGACTTGATAGCAGTCCATGTCATTTTCCCAGACTGGATGGAAGAGAACAAAGTGAACATTGTGAAAATGCACCAGCTGTCTGTTACCCTGAGTGAACTGGTCTCCCTGCAGAACGCCTCTCACCACTTGGAACCTAACATGGATTTGATCAACCTGCTCACTGTGAGTTGCTGGGACCAAGTGTGTGCTCAATAGCACTTCTGTTCCTTAATTTTTAGTGCCACAGAAAGATGTGTTTCTACAATTCACTTTTGATGAAAAATAATTTAGGGGTTAGTACATGATAAGGAGTCTCAACGATGAGAAAAATGGAAACTTGAGACTATAGCCTTGGAGCAAACACATTTTCCTTCTTTGGGATGAGCCTGGTCTCCTCTGCCCATGCCAACGCCTTCCGGAGGTCTTTCCTCCCTAAGAGCCACCTTAGCCCTTGGCTCCCGGTTAGCACACTGGCCCATCTCATCAGTTCTTTCCTTAAGCCCTCAAGTCCTCTGTTTCTCTTTCAGCTGGGAATTCAAAGACTCCAGCTTTATTCTTCTTTTTTTATTTTTAGTTCTGTTCTTTTCTTTTCTTTTTTTTTTTTTTTTTTTTTTTTTGAGTCAGGGTTTCTCCGTGTAGCTTTGTAAACCAGGCTGGCCTTGAACTCACAGAGATCTGCCTGCCTCTGCCTCCCGAGTGCTGGGATTAAAGGTGTGCATCACCACCGGCCAGATTCCATCTTTGCTCTTAATTTGAAAGTTTTTGTTGTGTATCGTACATATGTGTGTACACAGTGTGTGTTGGGGGGGATGAAGGAGGAGGGGGAACCTTCAAGCACACCTCAGCACACACGTGGAGGTTGGAGGACAGACAGCTTTGCGTAGCTTGCTTTCTCTTCCAAGTTTGTTCGAGGAGTAACTTTACCCACTGAGTTATCTTACAGGCCCCTTCTTGCTTTTTTGTTTTTGTTTGGTTTTCAAGGTTCTTTGTTGTTGTTTGTTTGTTTGCTTGCTTGCTTGCTTGTTTAGACCTGGGTCTTGCAATTTAGCTCAGGCTAGTTTTGAACTTGTGGTTCCCCCTGGCCTCAGTCCCTGAAGTGCTAGGATTATAGCTGCGGGACATTGTGTGCTGCTTTTAAAGACTTTGCCTTCCTAGAGTAGTCTTTGTTCTCTCCCAATGAAGTAAGGAGTCTTTTGTGTTTCATCCTTGTACTTTACATATTTTTATTTAACTGTAGAAGGCATTGCTCTGCATTAGATTAATTATCTCTGTTCACATTCTTTTTTGTTTTGTTTTTCTACATGCCCAGCAGCTTTCACAGTACTGGCATGACTGAGAACTCAGAAGACAAAGTGAGTGCTGTATTTAGGAGAAGTGAGTGTCAGATAATCTAATTATTGTTTATTTATGTTGGCCCTTTGTGGCAGATTGTTCGGATGGACTCCAGGCCCAGAGCTTTTTAGACACAGCCTGTGTGTAGATGGAGACATCTTCCATTGGGTCTTCTTTTTGAGAAGGAAGAAACACAAACAAAATCTCTTACCCTTGCTTAAACAAGGGAAGGCACAACTTCCTTATTTGGCTTCACAACAGCCTAGCATCTGAAACTTGGCTGCCAAGGTAGATTGGTGTTTTGTTTTTATGTCCATGGAAAATGAAAGCAATAACTCCTCTAAAGCTCCAATGGCCTAAATCCCCTAGGATGGCTGCATTGGAGTAGGAGCCTGGTTACCAGACTTTATAGACACTGCTCCTAGAGTAAGTAATTGTTATTAAAGGACACATTCCTAAGCAGAATGATAATGTTAACTGTACTCAATATGAAGTTGAAGTGTTCAACACACTGATCTCTTGGGTGTGTGTGATAAACAGTAAACAAAAAGACGTTCTCCAGTGAGGAACCTTCTCACATTAATTCAAGCACCTGCACTGATTAATCATTTGTCATGTAAATATGTTTCCATGAATCAGTGCCCAGAGTTGTAGCCACAACCAGGCAACAAACCACAGGACAGACAGGTGATGTCTGAAGAGAAGTGCCACTGTGGGCCCTCAGTTTCAAGTGTCTGTGTCTAAACTGCATTCTTAACCTTGACTATAACTTCATAAGGCAGGTGTCTACATTTGAACAGTAACACCTAACAGACAATGAAAATGTAAGGAAATTAAGTTTGAGTTTTAAATACACCAACCAGGGGAAAAGTCTCTCCATGGTAGAGTACTTGCCTAGGATGCACAAGACCTTGGTTCTATACAAAACAAAAGCTAAATGCACCAAGCAACATTATCAAAAAGAAGTATTTAGGAAAACTCTGAATATTTCATTAATGAAAGCTCAATGGTACAAATGGGAAACCTGAATTTAAAAAATAAAAGCTAAGAAACAATCTTTTTGTTAGGGAAACCAGAAGAAAGGCATGATGCAGCGTTTGCCCACTCTTCTAGGAGCATTGAGGGAAAATGTAGAAGCTACTTAGAACCATGTTTAAGGGCAGGGTCTCATAACTCACGGTGATGGCAAAGATGCTGGATGATGTCTCGACCCTAGCCCTGCCCCTGTGCTAATCAGTTCTGACTTTGCCTTTTTCATAATGTTCTGTGCTCATCTATGAGGTCAAAATTTCTGTGAATCTAGAAACACAGAATGGAAAGGCATAAAAAAAAGAAACATCTGTGGTATTGGCACAGGGCCCATTGACTTCCCAAGACAACACAGGCCTGAAGAGGAGTCATGACATCTAAGCCAGTTTCCACTTAGATCCAGTATCTTTCTTCTCTCCCCACAATCAGGTAAAATGGGACACATTTTTTTCTGACCTCTGGGGACCTAATGTCCCCAGACAACAAGAGTCCTGAGGAAACTTATGTGTTCACTAGAGTCTAGTGGCCACTTTATGAAGTCCATACATGTTTGGATTAGAACCACACGTCTGTAGCTGTCTGAGGCAGGAGAGCAAGTCCATGAGCAAAGCTTTTAAGAAGTGCCCAAAGAACTGTGTTCTTTAGTGACCAACATGTGCTTCAGACACCGAAAGACAGAAAGTGAGAGCTTGAGTTAATAAACAGTTATTAAACACCTATTCTGTGCTGTCTACCTTTGCTGGAATTTTCCATGGCCACTGACTCAAATGACACTCACCATGGATCTCCATGGTATATTCTCACAGGGGCCCTGTAATGAATCCTGGGGAAAAGAGAAAAATGTCACACCTCCTGTGTTCCTTCCTTTCTCAAAAATGAAGGAACTGAGGTTGGTTAACACCCAAAAAGCCTAAAAGTGGCTAACTTCTGGATTCAAGGGTGAGGGACTTTTTCCCTGGGGTGATGTATTAGTCAGCTTTTTATCACGATAACAAATGCCCAGCATAAATCAATTCATGGAAAGAAAAGCTTGTTCCGCCACAGCCTTGGTTCTGTGACAAGGCTGCACCTCAGTGGGGGCAGCCGACAGCCAAATGAGACCACTTACAGCTGGGAAGCGGAAAGAGAGCAGGGCATGGCTGAGGCCCCGCAGTTCACTTGGAGCTGTACGCTCGTGATTTGAAGAACTTCCACTGAGCTTCATTCACCTCTTAATGTCCCTCTCCATCACAGTTGTGCCGTGGAGCAAGCTTTTAGCATAAGGGCCCTAGAGGGGGCTTTTAAGATGTAAATTAATAGTGCATGGTTGACCTTGGATGGACATCTCTCTACTGTGCACGTGTCACTCATATATAGTTTGTTTGTTTGTTTATTTATTTATTTATTTGGGTTTTTCCGAGACAGAGTTTCTCCGTGGCTCTGGAGGCTGTCCTGGAACTGGCTCTTGTAGACCAGGCTGGCCTCCAACTCACAGAGACCCGCCCGCCTCTGCAACACCGTCACCACCCAGCTATATAGTTTATTTTGTGTCACTAAAAACTTAAACAGTATTTTTCCCCAGCCCTTTTCACTAATTAAAAGAATAAAATCTATGTGGCGAAGACCATGTCCCTTTCACTTTGGCGTCCTTTGTCCCTTGACCAGCACGGGTGGGTGAAGAGCAGGGGAAGGTAGCTGTAGACACTTGGGATGCAGGTGGTTCTCCCTTCCAGGGTAGATCTGGAGACAGCATCCCCCCTTGAGGTCCCAAGTCATGCAGTAAGGAGTTCTCAAAGCTGATGCCTCTGCCTCATGATTTGTGAAACAGACAAATTCTTTTCATGGTATTTTTAGCTCCATCGGTTGCTTTTACCATTTTGAGCACATGCAAATAGCTGGAAAGCCCCTATGTTTTTACAGTCTCGTTTTAAAAAAAAGACAAGAAATGAAAAAAGAGAGAAGGAAGAGGAGAATAAAAAGAAAGGAAGAGGTGATTGCTAAACTGATGAGTATAAACAGTTTGGTGATCAAGTGTGTTTTGTTTTATAATAAGCAAATAGGAGCATGAAGTCTAACTCTAGATCCACCCGTGCTGACAGGATTGGAGGATAAGGCAACTGACCATGGATTAAAATAGTGCCCAAACCACCAGGGACAAAATAAGTTACACAAAAGCTGGTCACATTATTTAAATATGGGAAGCAGACAGGGAAAATCCTTAGGTCCTAATTCATATTAAACTCCAGATTGCTGACTTCTCACAAACCAGAGATGGCAACTTGGTATCAAATGTCAGACAGACAAATATTTATTATTACACCTAAATAACAGCTGTTGGCATAAGTTTCTTGTCCCAACCACCTGCTCCCAAATAACCAACATGGAGATTTAAGATTACTTATAAGTGCTCAGACAATAGCTCAGACTTGTTACTAGCTATCTCTCATACTTTGAATTAACCCATATTCTTTGAATCTACCCTCCGTCATGTGGTTGTTCATGGCTTGCTGCCTCATTTTCTACCTTTCCTGTTTCCCCCGTGTCTCCTGGTGTCTCCTTTGACTCCATCCTTCTTGTTCTCATCACTCTCAGTTTGGATCTCCTACTTGACTTTATCCTGCTCAGCTATTGGCCAGTCAGCTTCTTTATCGAACCAATCATGGTGACAAATATTCATTGTACAAAAGGACTATACCACATCAAATAGCTGCTTCCAACTTTTAAGAGACTACGCGCCTTCCTATTGCTTCCTTAGCAGAGAGATGGTGTTCTGTTCCATTTACCATACCAAACTGCTCAGTAAAAAGAAAAGATTGAAAACCTAACAGCATCCACAAGGATTCTTTTTTCCCCCAAATAAGTCATTGTGGTACTGTATCAGCTATTACCTTGTCACTGCACCAAAATATCTGACTAAGCCTTTAACCCCAGTATTCAGGAAGCAGAAAGAGGCAAATTCAGAATTGAGGTCACCCTACTCTATAGTGAGAGTTCCAGGTCAGCCAGGGTTACGTAGTGAGACCTCCATCTTCAATATGAGAATAGCAACTTAAAAGAGAAAACATTTATTTTGTCTCACAGTTCAAGGAGCCAGTCTAATATATCAAGAAACCCACGGTGGCACAAGCTTAAAGTAGCCAATCCCAGTGTGTCTTCAGTCAGGATGCAAAGAATGACACATTGGTATGTGTCTAGCTTTGTCTGGTCTTTATATAGCTCAGGACCCAGCTTAGGGAATGGTACCACCCAAATTTAGGGTAGGTCTTTCCATCCAATTAAGCTAACCAAGATAATTGCCCACAACTTTGCCCAGAGATTTCTCTCTTTGGTGAGGCTAGATAAGAATGAATAATATTAAAGATCACAGGTACCAGTGTGCACACCAAATATCCCTTTTGTGCATCCTACTTCATTCTTTTGAATTATCAGCTGCTTCCTAGAGGCATTTGTCTCTAACACGTATGAATAGGTGTGACTACTGTTTAGAGAATGGTAAATACAGTGCTCATCATTAGTAAGCGGGACTGTCAAATTTTGGGACCATTTTATAGCAAGGTCAAATTTATTCTTCTTAGGAAAGAATTTCAGGTAACAAAGTCTTCAATTTAAATGATGCAGAGAGTGGCTGTTAGGACATTGATGTGACTGATCCTTGGTACATATTATGTGATTGACAAAATATTTGCCAAATGAATGAATGCTTTGGGATTTTATGGTGTCAACTTTGTTTTTAAAGGCATTTGAACAAAGTAATCCTAGAAAACCACAGTTCGCCTCTTTTACTTTCTGTTTTTCTTTGCTCCATTCTCATAAATGATGAAGATTTATTCTTAGACAAAATAAACAAAAAGCCTTAGAGGACATTTGTCATGCCTAAAGGCCAGTAGCCCTGACTCTTACCATTGTTGATGAAGTGGTGTGATTCATTCGCCTGGCATTGAGGAGCATGGGTGAAAATTGTCTGGTTACTGTAGACCTCATGACTCCCTCTAGGTGAGTGGGAGCATGAATGTTAAAGTGTTTACTACACATTATATACACTCTCACTTTCCAACCTTGATGGAAGCTGGTGTCCTTGCCTGTGCTGGCCTTTTCTTCCTCTAACCCTCTCTAGTTCATAGTTACCTCCTGAATCTTTCCTGACCATTTCAGTCTCCAGGGTTCCCTGGGCATAATAATAATAGAATGAGCACACGTATGTCAATAATAATAATGCCAAATACACTTCCCAAGACAGTCCTGTGCGGATGACAAATAACTTGGCCCAGTCTTTGAGTTCTCTGATGGCAAACTCAGGCTTGAACAGTAGCCCCTTTGATCTTCACACTTGCTCTTCTCTTTCTCAGAATAATTCCTGATGCATCTGGATTGGGTCATCTCACTTCATCCTTAGCATACATTGATGGGAACTCAATTTTGTTGTTTGTTCGAATTCTGTTTGTTCAAATTAACTGCCAGACTCTAAAGGGCAAAGAGCCACATTTGGTTTCATCAAGACGCTGTGCAATGCTCTAAAAGCAATAGGATCTGGGCTAATTTATTCTTTATTTCCATGTTTTTTTAATCAAGTCGTGTGCTATGCATCTGTCCAGCCTATAAAGATCTAGACTCCCTCATCTCTGCCTCAGGACTGAACATGTAAGACCTGTCCAACCGACACTGAAGAGAAATGGAGTTAATTGTGTTTTCTTGATACTGATGACCATGCCAGAATTAACGTTCTCGTTTTAAATTTTTATTTCTCACCTCTGCATGGCTCTACATCTTTTAACTCTTTTGCATTCATCTGGGTTATTGGGCAAGAGACTCATGGCCTTCAGTTTGAAAATATATTGTTAATGTACATAAAGCAGTGTAGTCCAGCATAATCACCCATGTCATTTGATTTTGTCACAGCTCTCTCTGGATCTCTACCACACTGAAGATGATATTTACAAACTGTCATTGGTGCTGGAGCCTAGAAATTCCAAATCGGTGGGTACTATTTTTCTTTCAGGGCTATAAACACCACTGTTTGTCATTTATCGTCACTGGCCATTTCGCTGGTGTTTTGTGTTCTTAAGACTGAAGAACTTTGAAAATCTGTAGTGTTCCCATTTGACCAGTGGGCCAACTTATTCCCAAAGGTTTCATCAGTATTTCTTCACATCAAATCTAAAGGAGAGGAAGAATATTATCTGTTTGCTGTTTTATTATTGACCTTTTACCTTTTGTATCCCCTCTCTAAGAACTCACTTATACAAAGGGCTAAAAGAAAAAAAAACTGTCAGTCATCCTAGTATTTAAGATCCTGTGTTAGCATCAAGGGATACTCTCTCAGCCTGGACACATGAGGGAAGGTCTATACCCTGCCCCGGATGATACGACAGACTCTGGAGATTCACCCATGGAGGGCCTCACCCTCCCTGGGGTTAGAGTGGGGATTCAGTGGGGGCTTGGGGAGTTGGTGGAGGGTGGGGGAGGAAGGGAGGGAGAGGGAGCTGGGATTGACATGTGAGGAAAGCTTGTTTCTAATTTAAATTTTTAAAAAGGTCTTGTGTTAGGTAGGGTTTTTGACCAGATCCCTTACACCCTTCCATGCTCTGTAAATATATATATATATATATATATATATATATATATATATATATATGTATGATATATATATATACATATATATACATATATGGGTTGGAGAGATGGCTTAGTGGTTAAGAACACTTGCTGCTATTGCAGAAGACCATGTTTGGTACCCAGCACCCACATGGTGGTTTACAACCATCTGTAACTCCAGCTCTTTGGGTTTTAATGCCCTCTCTTGGCCTCCATACATGGGGCACATTCATACATGGAAGTCCAAACACTCATAAAATAAAATAAATGGAAACACAAGAACACCCTCATGCCTGTAAAAGTAGTTTAAGAAATTTAATCTGCCTCAAAAATTATGTGACTAAGAATGATTGAAGAAGACACCTAAGGTTGAACTCTAGAGTCCACATACACATGCAACACACACTTGCACACATGCCTGCACACACGTTCATACACGTAGAGCCATGGTGTGTGAAGGGATGCAAACGTGTGCGTGTGTGCATGACTCTATCTAAATGGTATGAAGTTGTTGATCTTGCTAGTTACCTGCCAATAGCACCCACATCAACATTGTTTGGGATTTAAATGAGTTATGGTTCCTCCTCAGATTCTCTTGTAAAAAAAAAATTGATTCCCAGTTCATAGCAAATAAAGAGCCTCCTAGAACAGGTTTGTCTGTGTATACCAGTAAAAACACTGTCACTGTATGAGGGTCCTACAGAGAGCAGTAAATAAACCATACAGCAGCCTTAGCTGGGCTCCCAGGTGGGTTGTGTGTCGTGCTTGAGTTAATGCATTATTGCCACCACATTCCCCACGTGACTAAGAGAAAGTGTCTTGAAAGACAGAAGGGAAAAAAACTAATGGAAAAGCCTGTGGAGAGGACAGAGAGACCTGGGCACTCACACAACAGCTGGAAGCAGTCAGCACCTCAAACACAGTGTGGGTGAAAGGACCAGAACTTGCTGTATGCGAGTTACTAGCTGTTGTACGCATTCAATGCAAATTTATCACAAATACTAACTACTTGAAAAAACATAAAATTAGATTGCTTTTGTCTTTTGAGACAGGATCTTGCTATAAAACCTGGGCTGGCCTCAAACTCCTGATCTTCTACCTCAGTCTCCCAAGTGCTGGAATTATAGGTATGTGCCACTGTGGATGGCTTGATAACTGTAATCCATATGTGCGTATGTGTGTGTATACATACATACACATGTATGTGAACCTTTAGGAATCATCTGGTGGTAATCTGTAGTTAGAAAACCTGGGTGGGCCGTTTGGGTGGTTCAGAAGTACAGTTTTTAGATACTCATTTAAAAGAATGGCATGGAGGCTACTATTAAACAAAGTGCATTATCAAAACATATCTTTAGTCATGTGTGCTAGTGCACACTTTGAAGACTCACACGTAGAGGCTAAGGCAATGGAATGATAAGTTCCAGGGCTACATATCAAGGGGCTTCATCTCAAAAAGTCCAAACTAAGGCAGAGCATACTTTGAGTTACTGGTTAGATTCTATCAACAAAAGATGTTGGTTTATAAGCTTGTGAAGCTGGGTATGGTGTCCTCGGGAGGCAGAGGCAAGAGGATCTATACAAATTCCGGACCAGCCCAGTCTATGCTGTCCCCATTCTACTGGGTTGACATAGTGAGACACTGTTTCAAATAAATAAAAGCATGCATACTATATACACTTGAGTTTTTGCTGCTGTCAGGTTTTCTCTCTTGCTGGATCGAGGTCCAGTTAATGTTGAAGAATGCTTGTGTGTTCTTTTAGCAGCCTACCTCCCCTACAACACCCAACAAGCCTGTGGTGCCCCTGGAGTGGGCTTCAGGAGTGATACCAAAGCCAGACCCTACAGTCATCAACAAACACATAAGGAAGTTGGTTGAGGTAAGTGAAGGGAAGTAAGCAGAGAGTTCTAGAAAGCCTCCTTCTCTTTCCTGAATGTTCTATGAGTGTCCAGAAATCACATGATCATGAAATTAGCTCTTGGGCAAGTAGGAACCCTTGAGCTTGATTGAGGAAGAAGTTCCTCAGCTGGCACTAATGCTTCCTGCATTGGCCACAGAGGAGACTTTATCACAAAGGACCTCTCTGTCCCTTGTCTTGTCTGTCTGTCTGTTTAGTTTTTCCAGACAGGGTTTCTCTATGTAGCTTTGGCTGTCCTGGAACTTCATCTGTAGCCCAGGCTAGACTTGAATTCAGAACTCACAGAGATCCCTCTGCCTCTGCCTCCCGAGTGCTGGGATTAAAGGCGTGCACCACCACCACCAGGCTCTGTCTCTTGTCTGTGTCTTCTTATTTACCCAAGTATTATTGGGTCCCTTTAGCTCCCTCCCTGAGTATTAGCCTCCTCTGTCACTGCTGCCAGCTTGATGGACTTTAGGGATTGGAATTTCCCATGGAAAATGCACTCCAGATGAGTTTGTTACTTCAGAGCAGGGAGCTAGCCTGTAACCTGGATTATTTCACCTGCTGTATAAGATAAGGCTTTTAAGACACAATCACACAATGCCACTGAGGTCAGAAAAAAAATCACTCAACCTAAGTCAAGGCTCTTTCAGGGTTCTCCCTGTAGAAAGCAAAACAGATTTGAGTGCAATGGTGCATCCATGTCATCCCAGCACTTGGAAGGCTGGGGCAGAAGGATGGTGAGTTTGAGGACAGCCTGGAATACAGTGAGACCCTGCCTCAAAGAATGAGAGACAGAGAGAGAGAGAGAGAGAGAGAGAGAGAGAGAGAGAGAGAGAGAGAGACAGAGAGAGAGAGAGACAGAGAGAGAGAGAGACAGAGACAGAGACAGAGACAGAGACACAGAGAGACAGAGAGACAGAGACAGAGAGAGAGACAGAGAGAGAGAGAGAGAGAGAGAGAGAGCACAGACGAGTAGAAGCACTAATGTGGAGGAAGAAATGGCAATGTCTCTGTCATTGGGAACTGATTAAGGCCCTGCTTTCTTGGACTGGCATATCATCTGTTACAGTAAGGTTGAATCTCTGAGACGGACTATCTATGAGATGGAGAGTGCTCTCTCCTGGAAGGGGATGTTCAGAGGAACAAAAGGATATTCTTCGTGGTGGAAAACCCAGGGATTTGGCAATTGCTAAGAGACGTTTTATGTTGTGCATGCGGCAGAAAGAAATGGTTAAGAGGCACAGTGCTGATGCATAGGAGAGGCTGAGGCAGGAGAGTGAAAGGCAACCAGACTACACAGCAGGACCCTATCTCAAGAACAAGTAAGCTGAGCGCTGGAAAGATTACTTGGTGGTTAAAAGGACTCCCTGCTCCTCCCTCTTCAGGGCGTGGCTTTGATTCCTCGCCCCCACATTGGTCGGCTAACAACCAACTGCAACTCCAGCTAGGGGATGCAACACCGCTGTGGCTTTCGTGGGCACCTGAGTGCAAGTGCATGAACACAGACGCACAGGCATGCACACAATTTAACAATAACATGCATCTTGAGCAAGGATGCGAAGAAACCGAAAACCCAAGCAAGCCAATGACAACCACAAGGGTGGTGTGGAAGGGACTTTTTCTGAGGGACGTGCCTGAGAAGACTATGCAGTACCTGGCAAAGAGTTTGGGGGGGCCAAAGGGACCCAAGGAAGCAGTGCACATCGGGAACATTAGGATGCTCTGATTACAAGAAACGAGGTCTTCCTTCTTCCTTCCTTCCTTCCTTCCTTCCTTCCTTCCTTCCTTCCTTCCTCCTTTCTTCCTCATTCCTCCCTTTCTCCCTCCCTCCCTCTTTCCCTCCCTCCCTCCCTCCCTCTTTCTTTCCTTCTTGACATCCCTTTCTCCCTCATTTTCTTGCATCTTTTAAAATTAGCACGTAACCTATTAGATTTCATTATGGCACTGTCACGCACGTTTTTTGTTTTTGTTTTTGTTTTTTTTGTTCTCTGGCTTCCTCCACCACTACCCCCAGCCCGTCTCTGTTTGTGCCCCCAACCCCAGTAACCACTTTACTGCTTTTTTGTCTCCTATGTCCTGTTGTTCTCCCAACGCCTCCTACTTCCCTCTCATGATTTTCCTTCTATTTTCACAGCTTAGACCCACACCTACACAGACCTATAAACACACATAGAAACACTTAAACCTAAGATCTGCATGTTTGAGAGGGAATTGTGTTTTTTTTTTTCTTGGATCTAGGTCACCTCACTTAATATCATATTTTCCAGGTCCACCCATTTTTTTGTAAAATTTGAAATTTCTTTTTTAACAGCTGAATAAAAATTTTCTATTATATGGGCACCACATTTTCATCATCTCAATACTTATTCATTAGCAAGACAGCTTAAAGTTGACTACTTTGAAGTACCTAATATTTGCCATTGAATATCCATACTTTTTGTTGTTGTTGTTTTTTCGAGACAAGGTTTCTCTGTGTAGCTTTGGAGCTCGTCCTAGAACTCACTCTGTAGACCAGACTGGCCTCAAAATCACAGAGACCCGCTAGCCTCTGACTCCCAAGTTCTGGGATTAAAGGCGTGCGCCACCAACACCCAACTAAATAGCCATACTTTTTATAAAGTATAAGAATTCTGTAAAAGAAACTTCAGTAAAAATTCATAAATGAAATTAATTGCCCCTTATTTGATTAAGCTAATGGTAAGCATTGTAATCCAAGCTGGGCCAACCTGTCACCAAGGAAGCAGGATTGGATTGATGGAGATGGGTGGGGGGAGAGGGGGACTGAGATTCTCTTCTGAGCAGGGGCAGCTGCAGGATGAGGTGGGTCCAGATAAAAGCTTTTGGACATTGCGTGAGTGTGGGGATTCTGTGTACAAGCTGTCACACCTTCTGCTGTCACGTAGACCCTTGGAATGCTTGATTTGTGTTGGGGAGTGCTCGTGTTCTTCTCCTACAATCCTGAACCATTTTTAACCTGTATATTGACTTTTATTTGAACTGTAGAATTGATTTGTTCATTTGTAAATATTTCTTCCCTCTAAATACAAATTTAAAATTCCTACTGGGATTTTGATAGGGATAACATTCAACACGTATTTTCAATTTTTGAGGTTTTTTAAATTTCTAAAGTTTCATTTTCTATTTTTATGGTATTATAACCAAGAAACTCACCAACCTAATTCCTACTCATCTCTAGGAATCAGTGTAGACATTTCTTTCTCTGGGTAATCTTTCTTTATCTATATTCCAACCTCCAAGCCCTCCACAAACCTCTTATGGTTTTATAGTGCTAAATGAACTTTGAGTTTACATCTCTCCCACCAGATTCTAGGCTCTTTGATTGAATGGATAATCCACTTATTATTTCAAGTTTAGTGCCTGACTTATACATGCTTGTGATAAATACTTGTCTATCCTATGCAGTCTGTGTTTCGGAACTACGACCATGACCACGATGGATACATCTCCCAAGAGGACTTTGAGAGCATAGCTGCCAATTTCCCCTTCCTGGACTCCTTCTGTGTGCTGGACAAAGATCAGTAAGTCCCATTTGGTCATTTCCAATGGCTCTAGCTTAAAGCAGAAGATAACCTAGAGGGTGGGGCAGGCAAACCTGCAGCCTGCATCCCGAGGAGCCATGCCCTATTGTTCTAAACACGGCCAGTTGGGTGCTGTCACAGGGCAGAGCCCATCTCTGTTAAATACAAGGGCGCATTTGCAAAGGGACCAGTTGTCAGTTTCTTCCACGGCTTCACTACCAACTCTGAAACCTCCATCAAGACAAGTAGGAGGGACAAACCTGATTGCAGATGCCTGTAGTCCAGGCTACTCGGCAGGCTGGAGACCTGCTTGGGCTGCAGAGAAAGAATTCAACACCAGCCTGGACAACTTAATCAGGGAGGCCACATTTCAAAGTAAAAGTTACTAAAATAGGGTAAAGCTCAGGGTGAGGAGCTCCTGTGTAGAATTTCCCCTACCCTTAAGTCCAGAATTCTAATGACTGGCCAACATCCCTCTTTCTAGTAATTCACAGAGTAAGCTTCCTCTCTTTTGTGGTTCTGCATACATCTCTTGGCTCCTGGAATTCCTAGCATATGAGAGAAGATATGGTAGAGAGTTTCTTCAGCTCCTTGATCTTTGAGTATTTTATACTACATCTGTTGGAAGCTGGAAGCTCCTGTGCCAGGAGCAACTATTTATCAGATCTATATGATGTAAGATGGGATATATGCTAGGCAGCAAGCTCCTCCTTTCTCTGTTGAGCCATGTAAGGATATGAGCCAGGTTGCTGCCTGGTGGTTGAGCTCTAGCTGTCCTATTGCCCTTATGGTATAGTAAGTAATCATACATCCCTGGGGTTTGCATGATTCTTTGATTCTATCTATCTATCTATATCTATATACACATATGTGTGTGTCTTTATAGATAGATAGATAGATAGATAGATACACACATATATGTATGTGTGTATATGTCTTTCTCAATGAATGTACTTCAAATTAGACTTTTGTGTCTGTGATTGATGCATGTCTCATATGTCTGAAGATATTGTAGGATGGGAAAGATAATAGGAGACTTAATTTTATAAATTCTAAGTATGATTCAAGTTAATTTGCATATGAGATTTAAAAAGATATTAAGTCTGGGGTGCAATTATGGCATCATTGATGGCTACAGGATAACTCGTGGTCATTCGAGTGGGAAAGGAAGACAGGGAACTTTGGCATGCCCATGTTGATTGTGAGGGGGATGTAGAGGGAGAGATGCCTAGCGAGTTATTGAAGATGTAGCATGAAATGTGTGAGAACAGTCGGGGCTGGAGGTGCAAGTTGAGTTTTCAGCCCCACGATGCTAGCTGATTGCCAGACAGAGCTCCATGCAGTATTCTTTTCCAGTGAGAGATTTAGGGGAATGAGATCAGGGCTTGGGGAATGAGTCTCTGTAGAGTGTCAACAAGTAAGTGTGTCCCTGTGTCACACACTGCCACGACGTCAGCGATTTTAAAGAATGAGAGCAGACCACTGAGGACTGTCCTCGGTGACATTTTCAGAAGGCTGGCAGTGGGAGGAGCTTGACTGGATGGAGTAGAACGATGGTGAGTGATGTCTTTCACAGCAACGTTGGGAGTTGGTGAGAGAGAAAGACCAGTGCGGCGGAAGGCAGCAGGAGCATGGAAGGAGATTGGAGGAGAAGGGAAGTTGTTGGGCATTTCTGTAAACCCGAGAAATGGGTGAGAAGACTGAGCAGTGTGTTTGGTCCTTACTGATAGACAAGCGAGGTGCGTGATAAGCAGAGACTATGTAGGTGGAGGGGGACGTAGAAGAGGAGTTGTTTGTGTAGAGGAGATCTGGAGGATTTACTCTAGATGAGCAGTGGGTCTGGGGGGCAAAGGTCAGTGGGGGAGCAGCCTGCAGTGAGTTAGGCTGAATAAAGTTGAGAAGAACAGCAGCAATTTTTACCTTATTGTTGTCCTTCTGGAAGCTTCTATTCAGTAAGATAACTTTCTGGCCGGGTGTTGGTGGCGCACGCCTTTAATCCCAGCACTCGGGAGGCAGAGGCAGGCAGATCTCTGTGAGTTCGAGGCCAAGCTGGACCAACAGCCTCCAAAACAGAGAAACCCTGTCTCGTAAAACCAAAAAAAAAAAAAGGTAACTTTCTGAACCAGAGTACACAGGCTATGTGTACACCCATATAACCACATACACATGCCCTGCACACACACACACACACACACACACACACACACACACACACACACACAGCATCTACTTATTGGAGAAGGCTTTGAATACTTGATGTGTCTTTTGAGACTCATCCTCCTCTTGGATGTTTAAGAAAAGTGAACATTTCTCATTTGCTTTGGGTCACAGGGGTTTGGAAGGTGAGTACCAGAGTGTGGCAAACTCTTAGTGATGCAGTATTCAGAGACTCCTCCCTTCTTTGACTTTCCTAACAGGGATGGCTTAATTAGCAAGGACGAAATGATGGCTTATTTCCTGAGAGCTAAATCCCAGCTGCACTGCAAAATGGGACCAGGATTTATCCATAATTTTCAGGAGATGAACTATCTCAAGCCGACCTTCTGTGAACACTGTGCGGGCTTTGTAAGTGAGATTTTTCAGTTTTTATTTTTGCAGCGCCTTGGAAAGGTAGGGAAACTATTTACTCAATGGAATCCATTTTCTTCTTTGCGTCAGAAATAAAATGTGTCTTGATCCCCTGAAATTAAAGATAAAAGCAAAACTGAGATTTGTGAGTTTAGCTATGCTCTGGGAGTACCCCAAATCAAGACAGGGAAGGTTGCTGAGCCCCGTTAGCTTGAGAGAGAGCTTCTGCTACTAACATCTGCCAGGGGAAGTGTAAGTCTAGAGAGCTCTGGCATTCATCACCACTCTTGCTAATGGTTGTTATAAAGAGGAGCATTTATCTTAGCCAGTTGCTTCTAGTACTCATTTAACATATTAGTCACTACATCCATCATGGCATGGCTCAATACTTCCCAACTCAAAGAGGGAAAAAACCCACTGGGGATAAGGCAGTCATGACAATAAATAACATTTATTTAATGCTTGACAGTAACAGAGTCCCTGGTGGTGATGTAAGGAATCCCCACAGCGTGCGTTTTAGGCAGGCATTTTTTCCACATTTGGCCTATGAAGATGGAGAGGTGTAGGATGGCTAAGCCAAGTCCTCAAAAGAGCATGGACCCCAAACACGGGGTGCTCTGAGTGTGAGCCCTGCGCTCTGCCTTTACCACTGCGGCACAGGAAGACTGTATACCAGTAGTTCTCAACCTGTGGGTCATGACCCCCTTGGGGGGTCGAATGACCTTTTCACAGGGATTGAATATCAGACATCCTGCATATCAGATATCTACAATATGATTCACAGCATTAGCAAAAGTACAGTTATGAAATAGTAACAAAAATAATTTTATGGTTGGGGGTCACTACAGCATAAGGAACTGTATTAAAGGTCAGAACATTAGGAAGGGTGAGAACCAGTGTTGTATATCTACCCTGACACCGGGTAGTGGGGCCAGCGTTCGGCCCTCTCTTGCCAGATTCTTGGACTCTGATTACCTTCCAATTGGTACTCAAGTAAAAGAAAGTGAAAAATTAGAGGTGAGGGTGGCCGAGCACCTAGGTATGATAACCACCAGAGCTTAACTGTTGGTTTATTGAGCAGTCACATCCCATTGTTGACTGCATCTGGGCTGTCTGTCTATCACTTTTCCCATCCCATGCTTGAAGGACTGGCTCTGTGAGACCAAGGACACACATCTTTCTGAGAATGGGTATGTAAGAGTCAGCCTCTACTTTCCAGACAGTTCCCGGTACTGATGGCAGCCCACAGACCACCCTAGCCAGCTTACCTCACGAATCCCAGGGACAGAGAAATACCTTTTCTGTTAGCATCTCCATTGGTTGTACAAATGCATTTCCTTTTTTGTGTGTCTCCTGCTTCTCTGTTCTCATGGGGACTTGGGGAAGTAGATAAGCATGAAAATGCAAGCGGAGTAAGACCACGAGTACCACTGCCCTGCAAAGTTTGAGCCTTCGAATGAAAAGGTCAGACTGCGTGGACTCGCCGAGGCACAACTGAAAATCAAGATGATTAGTGTGAGGTCCTTACATGGTCTCAGAGCACTTGCTGTCGCTGCCTCCTTCCTTCCTATGTGGGATGGCTGTTTCATAGAAGAAGGAAGGTGGTCCATTTGGGATCCACGTCTTCTGCCGATTCATCTGGGTACAGTTGCTGATGCTAGGTTCTGCTGTACCCCGTATGAAGTACAAAACTCTGGACCCGGAGTCTGGAACCTCGGATTTGAACCTCAGTTTTGCCCCCTCTAACTCTATGTAATTAATGACTACCAATATGTCTGTTTTCCTATTTGTGAAAAATAGTCAGTATGCTGGGTGGTGGTGGCATGTGCCTTTAATCCCAGCACTCAGGAGGCAGAGGTCAGTGAATCTCTGTGAGTTCAAGGACAGTCTGGTCTACAGAGCAAGTCCAGGACAGGCTCCAAAACCCTCTCCTAAAAATCCAAAAAACAAACAAACAAAAAAGATAGTCAATACACTACTTACCTGTCAAGTTGTTGGGGAGATAAATAATACCAGGTGTGTTACCAGTCGGAAAGTACCAAGGGCATGAGAAAAACAGGAAATGGCATAAATTTTTTTGAAAGTATTCTCTTGGCACTCTTAGAGGTTACCTGAAATAAACTCTTAATTTTTATAGTCCTTTTTATTTTTCAAAATATATTTAATTTCATTAGTATAGCTTGACTTGATCTTTGTTCACATAATATCCAAGGGTCCATTGATCTTCAAGGGATTTATAATACAGCTCTGGAAATACATCCTTGAAAGGAATTATGAGAATGTCAGGAACCATTCATTTTCCAGCGCCTGCGCCATCTGCTTTTGAAATAAATTCTACTTTAAGGATAAGGGAGGCAGTGCATGTAGGTGAGAATCAGGGCACCAGAACTGAAAGCGTGTTGGTAATCCCCGTATTTTATAGAAGAAGAAACTGAAGAGAGTTAGTTCCCCAAGGTCACACAAGACATCGGCAGCTGGGGCACGAACCCCAGCCAGCTCTCCTAACTCTCAGTCCAGTGTTCTTTATACTATAGAGAATTTCGAGTATTGTACAAGCCCGTGTTCTTAGATCAAAGGAGCCTGGGAAATGCTCCCAAGCCTCACCTAAGCGAGGCTGCCTTTGACTGTCGTTGGCTGGCACACTGACCCAGTGCCTTTTCCTGGCAGGGTTTCCTTCTGGCTTCTCAGTGAGTTCAGCAAACCGTGCCCCCAAAGGACTCTTGCTTGATTATGTATCCTTTCAGCAGCTCTGCAATAATGCCAATAGTGTTGTGCATCTCCACATTAGGGTGCCCTATCTTTAGGGGTGGTGTGGGGTCTCACTCAATAGTACAGGATGGCCTTGAACTCGAGACCCTCCTTCCTTAGTCTTCTGAATGCTGGGATTAGACACAAACACCACCAAGCAGGAAAGGATTCCCCTCCTCCTCCTCCTCCTCCTCCTCCTCCTCCTCCTCTTCTCCTCCTCTTCTCCTTCTTTCCTCTTTTTATTGAAGATGGATTTTTTTCTCACATAATAAATTGATTATTGTTTCCCCTCCCTCTACTCCTCCCGTCTCCTCCCTATGTAGCCTCCCATCCAGATCCACCTCTTTATGTCTCTCATTAGAAAAAAACAGGATTCTACGGGATAATAATAATGTAAGATAAACATAAATAACACATTGGGATAGGACAAAACAAGTAAACAGAAGAAAAAGAGTCCAAGAAAAGGCACAAGAAACAGATACAGATGAAGAGACCCACTTGTTTGAACTCTCAGGAATCCCCTAAAAAAGACTAAACTGGAAGCCATAATATAGATCCCAAAGACCTGTGCAGGCCCTGTGTGAGTTCCTGTGGGTTCTGATCCTGTTGGCGTAGAGGGCCTTGTTTTCTTGGTGTCCCCCATCCTCTCTGGCTCTTGTACTCTTTCTGCCCCCTCTCCGCAGGGCTCCCTACGCCTGGAGGGGAGGGATTTGATGGAGACCTACCATTGAGGGCTGAGTGTCCCAAGGCCTCTCACTCTCTGCATAGTGACTGGCTGCAGGTCTCTATGTTTGCTGCCGTCTGCTGCAGGAGGATGCTTCTCTGACGACGGCTGAGCAGGGCCCGGATCTATGAGTACAGGAGAATGTCCTTAGGACTCATTTTATTGTTATGTTCCCTCAATAGCACAGTGTTTGGTTTTCCCCCAGGTCTCTGGCCTGTCTAGTTTCAGGTTCTTAGTCACCCAAGTTGGGTTCCATCCTGTGGAGTGGGCTGTAAGTCAAATCAGGAGCTGGCTGGTCACTCCCGCAAGCTCCGTGCCACCATTACACTAGAATATCTTGCAGGCAGGGCTCCAATTGTAGATCAAGGGGTTTGGAGCTGGGTTGGTGTTTACAATTCTCCTTTAGTAGTATGCAGAGACAGGTAACAAAGACACCAGCACGTAGGGGTGAAGGTTCTATGTAGGCACCTGACTTCTCTGTGTTCAATGTGTTATGCAGGTGCTGTCTTCAGCACCTGGGCCTTGCCATTAGTTTGTAGGGAGCAACCTATAGTCTTAGCAACAGTCTGGGTTGTTTGGGGGCTCCCATGGGGCCCCTTTGGCCAACAACTCAATAGATGTAACTCATTCCTGGTACAGGGAGTTTTATTTGGTGACGACATGTCCAGTTGGGACTGTCTCTCCCATTATTTGGAGATTTTATTAAGATCAATTTCACATATGTATATATTTTAGGAGGCTTCTACTATGTTAGGCTTCCATGCTCGTCCTCAAATGGCTCTGATTTTTACGTGACTCTCTCCATATGTGTTCCCTGCCTTCTGCCCCCTCTCATTTCCACTTGACTTTCCACCACCCCAAATCCATCCATAACTATCATTTGGTTACCTCACTCAGGATGACTTTTTTTCTAGTTCCATTCATTCACCTGTGAATTTCATTAAGAAAAAAAAAAGATTGCCCCTCTTAGATCTCCTTCTGGTCCTACCCTCGTGGCTTTGTTCACACAGAAATGGCCCAGAAGCAAGGGTAAGAATGTCAACCCTTTTCAAGATTTCCAGGTTGGGACTTGCAAGGAATCTATTTCCTGGATCGTTATCTCCACCTCTCCTATGACAGGAGCCAGCTAGATGATTTTTTATTTACTTTTATGGGCATTGATGGTTTGCCTGCATGTATGTCTGTACGATGCTGTCAGGTTGTCCAGGACTGAGCCCCCAACAGTTGTGAGCTGCCATGTGGGTGCTTGGGATTGAAACCAGGTCCTTTGGAAAAGCAGACAGTGCTCTTAACCTGGCAGCCATCTCTCCAGCCCCCAGCTAGATGGCTTTTAAAGCTCTCTGGGCTCTTGAGAAGATGTAACTAACCTGAGCACTGAGTTCCCCTTTCTGCCCCATCCAGTCTCCTGTGGCACTCTACTCCGAACTGACCCACCAGTCTGTGGTAAAGAGATCTTCCCTATCCAGAGGCAAACTGCAGCCCTGCTAGAATGCATTTGCATCTTAGTGTGTTCTCAAGGACCTTGGCACTGTGAAGGATCAAAGGACTCTCTGGGGTCCCCTGGTGGAGTTTCCTTGTCTGAGGGACAGAAAGGGGCTGCCACCCCCACACCCTTATGTCACTCTGCATTGGCAACTACTTTTCCTATCAGGCCCAGATGTCCATCCACACTCAAGGGGCTTGTCTGGCATCATGCATTGTGAACAGTGTTCCAGCTAGTCTCAGGATGCCACTGGCCCAGCTCTTCTTGGCATCATTTTATTAATCAAGCAACAAGCACCTAGCCTCACCCATAACGAGGTTAGGAGTTTTTCCAGTTGAAGCTGATCACTGAACTGATCCTAATACTGAATGTGCTGGTCTCCCTGCTGCCCCTGGGCAAATGTTATGAGAAGGTAGGAGGAATGACAGGGTAAGGGCACCTTCCTCGCAATGTTAAGAACTAAGAGGAGGGCAAAGCCCCCACTGTTCCTGGAGTTTTTAGGGTCAGAACCTCGGATCCAGGAGTGTCACCAAGCTAGGTTTAGCTACCTGACCTCAAGAGGCCACTTAGACAAATAATAGGTGATTCAATGTGGCCACATTGAGAAGAGGAACAAAGAAAGAGGAACAGCAAGATGCCATCAAGTCTGTCCTCTGAGCTCTGACACTTCAGGGTGAGGCTTAACACAGAGCAAGAATTACACACGACCAAACTGTCCTTGTTGAAGCGTGGCTTGGCCCAGTTCTGACCCCATCATTGTCAGAGCTCCAGCCTCCCCTGTCATGTGGTCTGAGAAGCTGTCAGAGAACTGTGGAAATGCTCTTGGGGTGTGGGGGGGAGTCAAGCCCTTCCTCTTGCTGGCCTGGAACTTCAACCTTTCCTTCTCTGGGCATGAGATTGCTGGAAGCCCCAGTTCCTTGGGGGCCACTGCTTCATTCAATAGCTTGAGGGAAAAAGGGGAAGGGATACGGGACTCTTTAGAATATCTTCATGTCTGCCAGGACGCTACACCACAGCCAAGACTGAGCAGCTTGCAAAAAGACTTCTCGTTGAACTTGAGGCATTTGTCATGTCACAATTCCAGCTAAAGACTCTTGGTAGTGCTCTTTTAGATGCTAAAACCAGGCACCGCATTCCACAAAGCAGAGCAAGTTTTCCAATGAGTGGAGTGAGCGGCAGAAATCGATTTTACAGACAGGGAGAAGCTGAAACAAAGCGAATTGGCCCCTCCCTCTGCATGGAAGGCAGAGGGGGAGTGGACAATAGAAAAATAAGCCAGGCGTGAAGGCACATGCTGGTAATCTTAATGCTTATGAGGCCGAGGAAGGAGGATTGGGAGTTCAAGACCAGCCTGGGCTACATAGTGAGAGCCTGTCTGAACAAAACAAGAAAAAGAACTGATAGGATAGCATGAGTTCCCTTTACCTTCTTGTTTAAGAATTTAGCTGTAGGTAACAAATTAAAACTGGTCACTTAGGGGGAATTTGGCTGTTGTTTCTCCAGGTTCCTGGGAAGGTCCAATAAATCCTTGGTTTCAGCACTGCGGTGTGGAGCATTAGTATGGGTGACTGTATTCTGATTTTATTCTAGTGTGCTGGGGTCTTGTGCAGCAGCTGAGTCTTTCATAAGGCCTGCCTCTAATTTTAAGTTAGCAATCACTTCCTACTAGTCAACTTCGGGGAAGTCACCGTGTCCTTGATTGGCAGAGTCGGAGCCTTTTTGACTTTTCTCTCGGCCCTGCTGCGGACACGGTGCATAATAAGATCATTTGCCCCTTCTCTACCTGGCAAAATGCGAATTAGTAAGTGCACGCTTAGACGGCTTCCTTTCCTGTAGAGGGCGCCACAAGCAGTCGTGAGTATTAAGAAGACCGGCAGGAAGACCCACTAGTCAGTTTTCTTATACACTTGGATTGAGAGTCTGAATAACATGCCAACTTACTAACTTTAATTTCCCATGCCCACTACCATTTGGCTCCAAGGAAGAAAAGGGAAGCTGTCACCACAGCTTGCAGGGAAGGGGGGAAGGCTCCTCTCTGACAGGAAAGGTGTCCAGAGCAGCTACATCCTGTTTGTGAGCTGCAGGTCATCGAACTTCCCAGGGCTTCTGCCTCTCTGGCTCTGTTTTCTTTCCAGGCTTCTCTCCCCACACCCTGACATCCCTTTGTCTTCTGTTTCAGCTCTGGGGCATAATCAAACAAGGCTACAGATGCAAAGGTAATACCCATTAAGTCGCTGACGTTTGGGGAAGGATGCTCTTGGCCCAATGGAGCACTTAGATCTCTTGGGACAATGGAAGCTGAAGGGTTAATGGGTGCTGGAAGAAGGCTCCGAACTTCCCAGAGTCATTCCTGGAATTCAGACGGGAGTAGGGGAGGGAGTGCTAGCAGCTCCTGTGTCACTCTAGAAGCTGGGTCACACACTCACGGCGTCACACTCATCCGTGGCACCTTTGGCGTCTTTCAGACTGTGGAGCCAACTGTCACAAACAGTGCAAAGACCTCCTGGTTCTGGCCTGCAGGAGACTTGCCCGGGCACCCTCTCTGGGCAGCAATCCAGGGTCACTTCCTGGAAGCCCAGCCCTGCCCCCAGGTAACACTCTTGTCGTGTTTTTCACTGCCACGGGCTTCTCTCCACCTGTCTATCGGGAAGCTCCACCCATCCCCGCTCCTCCCATCCCAGACCCCGCCCCTGAGAAAGCCTCGCCTTCTGCGGCTCCACCCAGGATGCCCCCTCCTGGTGGTTTCCCCTCGCGGTTTTCTCCTCTTCCCTTGGGGGTCATCCGGAATGCTTTGCTTAGATTAAAACTGGATTTATTCGTTCGGTCTGATCTGATTTATTACATCGGCGGCGGAGGAAGCCAGCAGCCGGGGATCCCATATTTACCAGTGAGCTCGCTCACACGCTCACCTGCTGCTGCTAGTTTAATCCTAGTCAGTTCCTCTGGGGCCTTGCTATCAGATTCCTGGCTTCTGTACTAGCAATGATGAGTTGCTACTGAACAGACTGATGTCCAATAACCATCACTCTCCTCTCCCCTCTAGTGCAGGGTGAGGTGTTTGAGTTTCCCGGGGTCACTGCTGGACACCGGGACCTGGACAGCAGAGCCATCACACTGGTTACAGGCTCTTCTCGCAAAATCTCCGTGAGGCTACAGCGCGCCACCACTAGTCAAGCTACACAGACGGAACCTGTGTGGTCAGAGGCTGGCTGGGGAGACTCGGGGTCCCACACGTTCCCCAAAATGAAATCCAAGTTCCATGACAAAGCAGCTAAGGACAAAGGCTTTGCCAAGTGGGAAAACGAGAAGCCCGCGGTACAAGGCGGCATGGATGTGGTAGACCGAGGCACTGCATTCGAACCTGACCAGGATGAAGGGCAAGATGAAGCCAAACAGGACGGTGAGGTCAGTGCTGGGAAAACACAGCTGACATCCTAAAGGTGGAGACTGGGGGTGCTGATGTGGGCGTGGTAGCTCTGCAAAATAGCCTCATGACTTCAAAACCTCTGCTGGAAATCAAGACGTATCTCTCTTAGAGCTACTGGCTAGTTATATGACACCAGAACGATGATTTCTTGCCCCTTGGATCTGTTTCAGCATGCCGAAAACTAGAATATAATTATGAAATATAAGGAGGTCATGTCTGTATTGCAATGATACATCCAGGACCTGTAACTGTTGTGTATATTCAAATACCCGTGCACTACAGGTTAGCTTCATTTCCCAAGACAGAGTCAGGGCTCACACTCAGGGAAGACTTGTAAACTCTTGACAGTATCCCAGAGGAAAAAAAAAAAAAAAAGAGGGATGGGAATCTAAGATGTGACGGTTCTATAAAGTGGATTCTGTCACCCAAAAATCACACTCAGGTCACCCGCAGTAAACTGGCATGCACGTGGGACATTAAAATATGCTGAAATTATAAATTGATTCAAGATGGAGATAATTTAATAGTCAACAGTCCGTATGTGTTAAGAAAACAGATTTGGGAACATCAAATACTCCTAGTCTCTACAGTAATGCACTTACTGGGAAATCAAGTCCACGCTGTGTGAGTATACAGTGTATATATGTGCAATCAGACATACGCATATGTAAGCATCCAAATTCTCTTAGTGCCCTTATGTATGTTATAGCATGGATTTCTGAGATGGAAACATTTGAACAAGAAGCATTTTGAAGGAAGGACTACTGTTTAGCACAGAACCCTACGGGAACACCTGTTTGTTGTACATGAATTCCTCGAGTAAGACTTGGAAGTGAAGTGTGGACAGTCTGTTTTTTTATAATTTGTTTGTTTGCATCTGCGTATGCTCCTGTTTGTATGTGTATGTGAACATGTGCACCTGCACACGTGTGCTAGGACATGTGCACTGAGATCAGAAATGGCTGTTGGATGGCCTCCTCTAGCGTGTCTTGTTTTTGTTTTTAATTTTTGTGTTCTGGTGTCACACTATGTTACTTGGGGCTAGCCTCCAACTCCTGGGCTCAAGGGACTCTCCTCAGAGTCTCAGGTAGCAGGGACTACAGGCTCAGGACCTATCTGGCTGGCTCTATGATCTTTTAATTCCTTCCTAGGTGGTAAACTGAGGCACTGGTCATTGGAGGTCCTCCCTCTCGGTCATCTGGAAAACAGTACTGTAGGTACGCTCTGCTATTGTTCAGTGAGAGCCAACTAGGCAACAGGCTCTGGTTTGTCTTGCAGGATGGCTGAGGTCAAGCTGGGGAAACTGAAGGCAATCACGTCAGCTTTGGGGAGAAGGAAAACCCTGGAAGCGGTCTGTGCATGCTCACGGCTTCATGTCATCGTGGGGTCTCCGTGACTGGACTACGGGACGGAGGATTTACGCCGACTCTGAACTATTTATTTCCCATACTCTGCCCTGCTGAGAATCCAGGGACACTGTTGTGCAGTCAGCGGCTTCTCACATCTATCTCCTAGAGTCATCTATCTGCAGGGGACTGAGAGCTCGGGCCCCATGTGGGCGACACCCACTCTCCAGATTCAAAACTTGGTTCTTTCTGGACAAGGATATTTTCATAAATTGTGGTGTGTGTGTGTGGGGGGGTGTCTCATAAGGAGGTGAGTCTGAGCTTTTGTGTTGCCTTTTAGATGGGAGCCTCTGAGGATACTTAGCTGTAAGAATGTTTCGAGTGTCCTACCACACGGTGGCTGTGGGGTGCAATGCCACGCTGTGTATCACCTAGGTCTCTACAATCCTCATCACTAAGAGGAACCACAGTCCTCAAGCTCTGCTCGTATTCATACTACCTACAGTGGGAAAAAAAAGTATGTGCCTGGCCACCTAATTGTGTTCCCTAATCTTTCTGAAGATTCCCAAAATAGAATGTTAATTAAGAAATCAAATCAAGTTCCAAGGGATAAAATTTAGTAAAACAACAATAACAACAATAGAACAAACAAAAACTACTGAATTTCTAGGCGAAAAGGAGAGCAACCATTTTGGAAAGTCAAAAGAAACCTTAAGATTCTTGTTTTAGATAACTTCTGGATGCAAACAGTAGCTTAACTTCTTCCTAATAAATTCTCACCCACAATTGAAGCATATCCACAGAAAGAAAAATCATCATAACCCTCAACTATGGACTGATATTCCATTTATGCCTTTAAAATATTAATAGCTTAAAGCTTTCCTTTGGATGTGTATCTTATGAAAGTGATTCGTGGTGCTCAGAAGAAGAGACAAAGCTGAGCTGGCTTATACAACTCTACTGTGCACTTGGGACGAGGTAGGAGGACTCTTAAGTCTGAGGTCAGTCTAGGAAACTTAGCAAAACTAGTAATAAAAATAAAAGAAAATTGAGGTTATGGAGTCTGTCATTGAGGAAGCCATCTGATATCAAATGACCAGTCAGAAAAATCTTTCACTTAGTACCCTGGTCCACATTTGAGGGCTAACATGTATGCATCCCATGGACACCAATTGTGTTTTTGTTTGAGAAAGTCTTTCCTGGTTCTGCTCTGATCCTTAGAAACTGAGAGCATGAGGACATGAAGGCTAAGTTGTTCCAGTGTCTTCATCTGCCATGTGGGCGCTGGGAACTGAACCCGGGTTCCCCCTGGAAGAGCAGGCAGTGTTCTTAATCACTGAGCCATCTCTCCAACCCCAGTTCCAGGGGCAGAGTTGATGTAATGTACCCTGAAGGTTCTAGAATGGGGAATGAGTCAGACTGGGAATACTGAAGCCATTGATTGAAGGAGCTGTGATTAAGCTAGATACGAACCCACTTGACAGTGCCAAGTGCTTCAGAGGGCAGTGGTGTTGGACTGATGTATATACACTATCTGTTACTAGTCATAAATACAGCTAAATACATGTTAATGAACTAAAACCAGAAAATGGTAACTTCAGTACAGGAAACCCTTCTGAAAAAAAAATCAGAAAGAAACCTGTTAAGGAGTGTTGGACTTTTTATATTTCTTTTCAGAGGAGTTATTTCACTTGCCATTTGGCTTGGATATTTATGAGTTTTCATATACAGGAGGAATTTTATATTTCTAGTCTTCCTATAATAAGTAAACAAAATGTACCTTCAATGAAAAATAAACACAAAAAGAAATATAATGTGGATTGTACGTGTGTATATAGCATGTGTATGCCTGTGCATTATGTAAACACAACTGTTATTAGCCCACTGAAAGGGAATTTTAGTCCATAATGAAGCTGTTTCATTACACCATTGGCTTACAACCAATGGTGACTTTAATGATGACTTCAATTCTCCCAAGTCAATAATATAAAATAGACAAGCCCATGACAAAGCAAAACAGAACAAGTTTGCTTCTTCCAGACCATTTTTTTTTTGTAGATTGTCACCTTGATTTTCTTTTTAAGAAAATTCTTGTTCTATGTTTATGGATGCCCAAGATAAAACTTATCAAACTGTATTTCTAAAACCTTTGGAATATATACAACTTACACTGAATTTAACACCCCTTCTCCAACGTGTACGTAAGTGAACCACATGCATGCAGTGCCTGCAGAGGCCTGAGGAGGGCGCCAGATCCCCATGGAACTAGTTGTTAGCTGCTTTGTAGGTACTGGGAATTGAAACTGGTTCCTCTAGTGCTCTTAACTGGAGTCATCTCTCCAGCCTCATTTTTGTTTTCTATGGGTAACTAGGGAGATAGGGTCTTGCTGTGTACTGGAGAATAGCCTATGATTTTCTAGGTAGCCCAGGCTGGAGTACCACACTGCACCCTGCCACTATTAAATTACCTTTGAAGGAGGGGCAGAGCCAAAGTCTTTACAGTGAATTCCGTAGTCAGGGTTTTGGCTGCTTCCACTGATTCTTCACTAGTGCAGGGCAGCTGCGCCTGGCGTTTGATGGCTTTTGTTGAAGGTCGGCCTCCTCACCAGTGTCCCCAGACTTCCACTGTAACAGCCTTTGGAATGTCTTCAGTCTACGCTCTCCCAACTGAGCTATTTCGGCTTGCCTTTGGAATGTCTAAGAGCTTTGCTGATGGAAAATGATGGCGGCAGGCTCCGGGAGATAGGAGCACCAAACTATTAACTGGTGACAGGAAGCTCGTGAGGTTCTCAGAGTCACACTGCATTTGTCAAAGTAAGTTTTGACACAAATTTTAACTGAATAATGGCTCTCTGAAGTCACTGAAAGTGATGAAACATCTTTTTGCACGAGGAAGCTGAGGCACCTATCTGACACGTCCTGTATTCCTGTATCCCTTGACTATAGATGGTGGAAAAGGGCGTAAGTGCGGTGTAAGTTGTAACCCAAAGGTGTGCCTTAGAAATAGTTTGATAAGTTTTGTATTGGTCAATCCAGAATCTTGTCATCAGTTTCCTTCAGGTTTGTCCCTGGGCCCCAATTTACAGCAAACAGAAGTCAAACACAGAAATCTGTAACAGGAAAGTTTTATTTTCACTCTGCTCGGTTAGTGATATAACTAACAGGCACATGACAATAAGCAGCAGACCCACACCATCCAATACAGTAGCTAGCAGCCACGTGTGGCCATGAGAACACGACGTGGCTAGTCCCAAATGACTTGTGCTGTGACTACAGAACAGCACATCTCAAGGACTTACCATAGGTCAGAGAGCATAAAAATACCATTAGTTCTCATACTGACCGGGAGTTGCAGTAACATTTTGGATATGTTAACTTTGCAGTCTTATTTCATTAATTATGCTAAGAGCTACTTTAAACTTCAAATTCCATATGTGGGTTATGCTGTATTTTAGACAGGGATGTTACTGGCTACATGAAACTCTGTCTTAAAAAGAAACATCAAGATTGTTCTTAATTTTCGACATAGTAATTAGGTATGTGGGAATTTATTCTAAAGGTAAGGAGACTGACAATGAGTAGCAATTGCAATTACATATGGAGGCTCCGCACTAGGGCCCCGAGTCCCTAGTGATGGGGGACCAAGGACATGGAGGAGTAATAAATGGCCCAAGGTTGCACAGGAAGTGAGTGGTGGAGCCAGGGTCCACTGTCACCAGCACCAGAATCCTTGAGCTCACTTATGACCACTCAAACTATACTAGGACATGAGAGAATTACAAATAAAACAAAGGTTTTTTTTCCGCGCACACACACACATACACACACTTCTGGAAAATGGTTGGAAATAGCTCTAAATCCATTGAATAAAGCATGGTTAAATAAAGTGTTATGTAAACACAATGCAATACCCACTCTTAAATTTTTATTTGTATTTCATTTACATTGGTGTTTTGCCTGCATGTCTGTCTGTGTGAGGGTGTCAGATCCCCTGGCACTGGAGTTAGACAGTTCTGAGCTGCCATGTGGTGCTGGGAATTGAACATGGGTCCTCTAGAAGAGCAGCTAGTGCTCTTAACTGCTGAGCCATCTCTCCAACCCCCATTTTTTTCCTTAATGAGTGAATAACTAATGAGACAGTGTCTGAGTGTACCAAACACACAAACCACTAAGGAAACAACAAATAGTAAAAATAAAAGAATACATGTATGTATGCATGCATGTATGCATGTATGTCAAGCATGGTAGTGCAAACATTTAGTTCCAGCACTCGGGAGGCAAAGACAGGCAGACCTCGGAGTTCAAGGCCAGCCTGGTCTACAAGAGTGAGTTCCAGGCAGGCAGACCTACACAGAGAAACCCTGTCTTGAAACTATCACTTGTATATAAACATAAAGAAAAGAATGAATATATTTTCTCCCTGTTTAATGTTTCTTTGAAAGAAGACAGACGTGTGTAATCGGTAGAGGATCTGTGAAGAACATTAAATAACAACAGAATACCATGGATCTTTATTTTACCTATGTCACAAAGGTACAAAGGGAGGCAATGATAACAGTGACAAATGTTATAGACTGAATCCGGAAAAATGTGGCTACTCTTCTAACAATTACTTAACAAAATTAAGAATCAGAACTAATATGTCACGGTGGTATAGGCCAATAAATGGAATATCAGGGAGGTGGAGGCAGGAAGACCAGAAGCTCAAGGTCATCCTCAGCTACAGAGTTACAGCTACTCAGGGCTACATGGAATCAGTCTCTCCCTCCAACCCCATCTCTACACAGACACAGACACACAGATAGGCAGACACACACACCACACTCATACAGATACACCATGCTCATACACACACACACACACATATACATATATACACATACACACACACAAGAAAGGAAGCAATAACAGAACTGAGACTTTATAACATGAATCAACAAGGAGTCTCTCAGTCTACAACTTAATTCCTTCCTTGTTTTTTTTTTTTTTTTTAGTGCTTATTACAAAGCTGCTTAAGTTCAGCAACTTTATTAAGAAAAAAAAAAAAGTCTAGGACCCCAAAGCATTCCAGGTCAAATGGTGCAGAATGCAGATGCTCCTGACACCAACACAAGTAAGCACAGGACACATTGCCAGACAAGGACAAGGCACAGCGGCTTGGGGGGCAGGAGAGGGCCCTTGGCTTCTGCAGACATGATCTGCCGAGCTGGAAACTGTGAGTTGCTAACTTGTAAGGATGCATGCACTGTGTGACGTTACAATTCATCTGTCAGGGTAGGGTGCCGTGCGCCGTGTCAGGAAGGTGCTCTGGGCTGTGTGTCGCCCATTGGCAGTGGACAGGTTGAGACCAAGCTAGTATTTTTAATAGTAATAACTATTTCCCACTAAACCTAGACTTGCGTTTTCTTGGTCTTTTTCCTACCCTGACTCTTTTACCTGACCCATAAACCATGATTTATTTCCTCAAGATTCTATGCCTGATCCATTACCTTTCCCCTCTCATCTAAGGGAATTCAGGAGTGAATCAGAATTCTGGTTGAGTATGCCAATGCAAAATCCTCGGATCCTTGTTCCAGCTAACCCAAATCTTTATTTCCAAGCATGTTCTTGAGTTTTCAGGTGGAACATATCCCTGGGATAGTACATTTTTCTTACAATAGTTTTCAGACAGAGAGCTCTTGGAGAACCACCCTACCCTTGGCTACTCAGCAGGTGTTAGACACTATTGGAATCACTAATGCAAATCGTTTTCCTGCATGTAGTGGACACTGGAGGGGACAGGAAAATTTGACACCCTAGTTGACAGCTGCTGGACCCCTGAACAAAATAACTGCCTGTTAAACCACAGGCCAATTACAACTGCTTGCTCTGGCTTCTAAAGGTACAACCGCAGCCATGACTCTGTCAAAAAGTTTGTAGCAGGCCTTTCCCTAGCACACACCTTGTGAACTCTAGATAGATGGCCCCACAACCATCTTCACATGCGCCAGAGGGGGACCACTTCCTGATGGCCTGTGACGAGTGCACAGGCAACAATGATTGGTGCAAACATGAACTTTTATTTACATGAGGGTTTGACCCGTGGGTGCAAACACTCTTTTCCTGGCCGTGTGAGTTACGTACTCAGCTTAGCCAGGCAGACACACTCCTGTGCTCCTTTTCCCCATGTGACTTGGCCACTCTACAAAAGGTTTCTCCAGTGAGCTTTGCTTTTAGGGAAACAACCTGAGGTGCCATAATGAAAACAGGAGCAGAAGGAAGGCCAGCACATCTAGCCGAATCAGTCTGGCAGCCCAAGGGGCAGAGGCATGACTGAGCCAATCAGTAGGTTGAGCCGTTGTCAGGTGACCGGAAGCAGTAGAGGCAGCAACGGGATGGCAAGAGTAGGGAGAACAGGCCCGCGGCCACCTTGATGACAAGACTCCACCCAGAGTGGGCAATGCCAGCCAGCGGTTGCCAAGGGGTACACGGGGTACACAAGCGCCGTAACACCAGAGGCCTCACCTGCTCTTGCTCCCGTCTGCCTGGTGCAGGTGTTCATTCACCGCAGCCTCCACCATTAAACACAGAAGCATTCAGCCAGCCAAATTAGAAAACGGCCACACTGAGGGTCTTTTTCCTACTTAACCGCTTTCCCATTAAACAAGCTCATCAAGCTCCACTGAATCTCATTTTAGTCTCTGCTTCTCCCCCCCCCGATTAAACCTACTCTCTAGCCCAGGTTCCGAATCGCTACACACCAGTTTTTATTGACATGTCACTCCCGACAGCAAAAGATGCATTTCTACATATAATCACAATAACGAGAGGTAAA